GCTGCGGCTGCTGCTGCGGCTGCTGCTGCTGCTGCTGCTGGCGCTGACCACCCCCAGAGCTGCTCCGCTGGGACGAGCCACTCCGACCCCCTCCTCCACCGCCACCCCCGCCTCCACCGCCACCCCCGTCGCCACCGCCACCTCCCCCACCAGGACCGTCGCTCCCACCGCTCCCACCGCCTCCTCCGCTACCACCTCCGCCGCCACCTCCGCCTCCACCGCCGCCACTAGTACCTCCACTCCCGCCACCACCCCCCCCGCCACCCCCACTCCCCCCTCCACCCCCACCGCCTCCTCCACTGCCCCCTCTGGCTCCACCCGCTCCCTTGCCCCCCTTGCCCTTGCCAGTGCGGCGTCTGCCACTGGGGGCAGACGCCGCGCCGACCGACTCAAAACCAACGAGGTCGGCCGCATCGGCAGAGGCGACAGAGGGCAGCAGGGGGGAGGGACCACACCCCTCAAAGATGGGGGTGCGAGGGTCACCCCGAGAGGCCCCTACAGCGACAATACTCTTCTCAGCCGCTAGCAGGGACTCCTCAAGGAGGTCGACAGTGAGAGTGGTGGGACAGACAGAGAGAAACTGGTCCCTAACGACACGAAGGGACTCAGGGAGACGGGTGACGAGAAAGTAGAGAGTGATGTACATGGGAGGAGGGTTCGCAGCGCGGAACTCAGCAGGAAGGGCAGCGCGGTAGCGGGTGTCACTAGCGCGGAGGTGGGTAACGAGGTCAGCGACAGTGGGAAAGGAAGCGAGGTCAGGGAAGAGAAACGGTAGCATGAGGCGGCTAAGGGTAGCGGAGGAAGGGGAGGAGTAGCGCGCAACTACAGCGTCGTACAAGGCCTGAGCGGTCTTGCACTGACTAAAGTGGGCACGCTCAGAGGAAGGGAGGTGGCGACGCACAGCAAGACGTGCAGCAGCATCGCGGGTCGCCCACTTGGAGCGAACGGCAGAGTCAGCATCAGCAGGCGGGGCAGGGACAGCGCCAGAGACAAAGTCAAAGAGAGAGACCTCATCTACCGCATCACACAGTAAGTACAGCTGCAGGTCCTCGATCCAGACGGCAAAGTCAATGGCCCTCCCCTCAGCGTCAAAAGTGAGAACATTGGGGGTGGCCATGGCAGCAGCTGAAAGTCTCACCGGGATGGGAGAGTCGGGTAGGTCAGCAGCAGGCGGCTCGGGCTGCTCGGGCGGCTCGGGCGGCTCGGGCGGCTCGGGCGACTCGGGCGGCTCGGGCGGCTCGGGCGGCTCGGGCGGCTCAGGTACCGGGCGGCTCGGCTGCTGCTGGGCGGCTCGGCTGCTGCTGGGCGGTTCCGCTGCTGCTGGGCGGCTCGGCTGCTGCTGGGCGGCTCGGTTGCTGCTGGGCGGCTCGGCTGCTGCTGGGCGGCTCGGCTGCTGTTGGGCGGCTCGGCTGCTGCTGGGCGGCTCGGCTGCAGTATAGTGGCGGGGCCGGGACAAGGGACGGCGGGGCCGTCAGGGTGCAGCGGTGGGGCCGAGACAGGGGACGGCGGGGCCGTCAGGGTGCAGTGGCGGAGCCGGGACAGGCGCAGTGGCGGGGCCGCAGGTTGCAGCGGCGGGCCGTCAGGATGCAGCGGAGGGCCGCTGGAAGCACCCGCGGCTGAGCAGGCTGCGGGGCCGCGTCGTAGGAGGCGGCAGGGCCGCGGCTGAGCAGGCGGCAGAGGCCGCGTCGTAGAGAGCGGCGGGGGCCGCGGCTGAGCAGGCGGCGGAGGCCGCGTCGTAGCGGGCGGCGGGGGTCGCGGCTGAGCAGGCGGCGGAGGCCGCGGCGTCTGCAGGCGGCGGAGGCCGCGTCGTAGAGGGCGGCGGGGCCGCGGCTGAGCAGGCGGCGGGGCCGCGTCTTAGCAGGCGGCGGGGCCGCGTCTTAGCAGGCGGCGGGGCCGTGTCCGAGTAGGCGGCGGGGCCGCGACTGGGTGGCGGGGCCGCGTCTTAGTGGCGGGGCCGCGACTTAGTGGCGGGGCCGCGACGTAAGGGCGGGGCCGCGACGTAAGGGCGGGGCCGCGACTGGACAGCGGGGCCGCGAACGAAGGGCGGCGGGGCCGCAGGGGAAGGGCGACTCGGGGGGGGTCGCTAAAAAAAAAAGGATCGCGCGCCTCGGGGCGCGCTTCGGTGGGCCCTAGGCGAAGTTCCCACAGGGAACCCGCTCTATACCATGTGAAAGGAATGAACAGGAATAAATTGACTAAGTCAGAGTTGGGTACAAATACAACCCTAGCAAACTGTACCCCATATGTGCTACCCCACTATGGCCTACAAACATGCATCAGCTATAATAATCTGACAAGCTGGACCCGAGGGCCCTTCCTCGTGCGACGGTGGCTCGTAGGCGCGCGACGACGTCACAATGACTCGCCACCAGTCCATGGCGGGGCCCCTGAGTAGTGAAACCGCATACCGGATCTTGGCGGCGTCCGACTCGACGTAGTTGGCGTCGAAAAACACATTCATCGTGAAGACCCACGATTGAACTGTCGGGCCGCCGCGTTGGCTTGGGTCGAAGCAGGGCGGGCGTTGCGGCTTGAGTGGCATTGGGGCCATCACGGCGTTCTCGCCACTTGTCGCCGCAAACTCCACGTGCCGACGGGCTTCTCGGGGCTCCCGTGGGCTTAATGCGCTCCTGTTCCCTCCCATGCCGGGCATCGGTTGGGCTGCGCCGTCACTGGCTGCGCCTGAGCGCTGTCCCGTGCTGTTGTGTTGCGTTGGTGTGCCGGATGAGATGACGATGGGCTCCTCCGAATGTGCAGATGCATTGGTTGGTGCATGTGATGTCGTCGGTACGTTCACCGTTGACTGTTGACGGGCAGAGTCACGTTCCGCCGTGAGAGTCGCGATTTCGAGCGCCGAATCCTCCAATTGACGCACGAGACGATCGAGTTGCTCCTGCGTCAACGTGGCGAGATTGAAATCGGCCATGGCGGGGGTGTCGGGCAAGCTCAGCGAGAGCCTCGGTCGTGGCCGTGCGTGCTTTCGAGAGAGCACTACGAGCGGCGGTGCTGTGTCGCTGAGAGACGTCTACCCCCCCCAAAATTTGAGATAGTGGGAAGCGAAGGTGTGGGTGCGGTCCGAGATGAGATCGTAGGCTCTGATACCAAGTGTTACGAGTGCAATTGAGTGAACGAACGAGAATTGCACTATCGAAGCAAGAATACAAATGAGCGAAGGCATGAGCGAACATTATATAGCGAAACTATAGTGGTAACGGTAATGGTCGCGCGACGAGCCTGGGACTGAGGTTGGGAAAGTGTCGAAGCGTAGGCCCGGAGCGCGGGTTACCAGCCGAGCCGTGAGGTCGGGATGCGATGTGCGAAAAGGGCGGGATGATGAATGATGCGATGGTCGCGAGTGGTAACGGTGCTGACTGAGGTGCTACAGTGATGTACGCGTTGAGCAGGGATGCGAAGTAAGGAAAAGGGAATTTCCTTACACAACTCCAACCCTGGGTCAACCCCTGGCCGCCTGTGTTCTTTGTGTGTTGGAAGTACAGATAGACGGTGACAGGCGAATGAGACGTGTAGCGGTTTGCCAGACAGCAATGCACTGTTGGTTGGACAGGAACGTGAGGACCTCGAGATTCCCTTTTCTCCTCGTTAGGGTTGCGAAACAAATCATCATTCGCGAATGTTTGCGAGATTGACGGAACCAACAGCAACTCGTGTTGGTGCCTGCTCCGTGGTGCCACCGACGGAAACGGAATCGCGACGAGCCACGAAACGCGTGGGGCGTCAGTGCCGTGCAGGTTTGGCGCGAAACCAAGGGCAGGGAAGGGGCAGTTCCCAGAGCAGACACGAACCAGACCATGCCAGGCCAGGCCTGGCCACACAACAGGGCAGGCTCGAGGGCGGGCAAACTGCGTCTCCTTTCAAAACTTTGGGATTACCGAGCCGAAATCCGTCTGTGAGAGGAGCTTGGGGGCAGGAAGCAGAGGGAGTGTCGTGCAGACAAGATGCTATGGCCATCAGTGGCTGGAGATAGCTTATTTGTACGGAACTAGAAGCTTGTTGCTGATCTTAGCTTACTGACCTAACTAACCGCGTCCTGTAATTAAGTTATGTTATTTATGGGTCACGCCTGCTTACCTACTAGCAACGGATAGCCTATTTTTTTCGTGCATCCGTTCTTAGGTTCGTTTTAGGATTGTAATGCTTGTAGTTTTTCGCGACAATGGCGAGTCTTTGGGGTTCGCGACGCACGTCTAGACAGCTCACGCGCGAATCGAAACGCGAGAAAAGCAAAAGGCCCGAAGAGCCGAATGAATTAGACTTAACTCGCCTGCAGTCCACTAACTCTAGGACTCGCAAGAAGGCGGAGCTTATCAAGAAAGCCAGCGACTCGCGACGCCGGTTCCACTTTAGAGAGCTCTTGTGTATCGCGATTCCACCAAACGCGACGCTAGAAGACGGTCATCTGCCATGGCCGCTTTGTTCCCCACCCACCACACCCGACGCATCAGGCAGAGGTCAGTTCCAAACGCAATTGTCAGATGTCAGTACCGTTACCGTTACAGTTGTTCATTAGACGAGGTTGTGAATTTGACGACTGCCGCTCTCCACTACTTGAAGAGCCCCTATTTTCCAGAGAAACCATCAGAACGCCATCAGTGGAACCAGCAACCGCCCTGATCGCTAATAGATCTCTGAAGATACACTCGCTCTTCCAAGAACTCGATACGTTCATAGAATTCTCTTTTAGTATTCGCACCCCGCGGATTTGCGATCCTGTACAGACCCGTATGCCATTCTGGCTATTAGCTGCGACTTTTGAGGCGCCTCAGAAGTCATTTGCACCCTGCGGATTTGGGATCCCTTACAGACCCATATGCTAATCTGGCGATTAAGACCTTGCTCTTGTGATTCCCTCTCTGACTAGGTTTCTGCCTAGTCTCTGAGCGCCGCTACCTTTCACCTCACCAGGTCATCTCGCTCTTCCTGTCCCGCGTCTGACCGTTGATGCGCTCCAACATTTGCACTTGACGCCAGATTTTCCGTCTATGCCTCCCTTCCCCTCCCCGCTGCCTTCCTTCCCCACTCCCGGTACCTCCTCCCCCGCTCCCTCTTTGCCCCCCTCCCCGCACCCCCTCACAGGGCTGACGTGGTTCCCGAACGCCAGTGCGGACGACGATTGGCTGGAAGAGGCTGCTACGGCCTCACACGCCTTGCCGCCGGCTCAGGTGCGGTGCTGTGGGGTTGGGAGGTGCATATTGAAGTTGTGAAAGGGTGGAACGCGGTGTTAGGTGCACCAAGAGGGTTTGGCACAGGGATGTTTCGCTGTGAGTAGGGTTCAGGAATGAAATAAATGGGTCTGCTGCCTCTTCACCTCTATAATTCCACTCAACCCCATTCTTCCATGCGCAACCCCCCTCTCCCCGCCCTCCTCCCCCTCCTCCCGGCCCTTCTAACCCCCTCCCCGTACCCCCCCCCAAACCCCACGGAATTGTCGTAAGCAGGCTGCGAGCAGGAGCGCTGTATCAGGACACGTGCGAGAGGAGGTCGTCAAGATCGAGGAGATCTCCACAGAGATCGTGACCGTCCAGGAGATATCCACCGAGATCGGACGGCCAGCCAGGTCCCGCCGATCAGGGGCAAGAGCCGCGCGAGAAGCAGGCTCAGGCGAAGCGGAGGAGAAGAAGAAAGGGAAGAAGGGGAAGAAGGTAGCTAGGTCGAAACGAGAAGCACAGCCGCCGGATGAGGCGACTAGCGCGGATCCTAGGTTGCCTGAACGGGTGCGGCCTGCAGTAAGAGATGTTGTAGTGCCACAAACAACAGCGGAAGCACAGACGCCCAGTTCTAGCCCTGCTCCTGCTGCCAGTGGTGCTGGTGGTGCCAGTGGTGCTGGTGGTGCCAGTGGTGCTGGTGGTGCTGGTAGGACTGGGCTTATAGCTGGCTTGGCAGCAGGGGCAGCAGCAGCAGGCGGGGCCGTAGCAGCCGGGGTGGCAGGTTTGGTTGCAGGGCGAGAAGCCAAGCCAGCAGAAGAAGCAACCAGCGGGGATGCGATGGAGGGGGTGGAAGGTTCAGAAGGGGTGCGAGGTTCGGAAGGGGTGGGGGGGTCGGAAGGGATGAGGGAAGACTCGAGAACGTCAGTTGCAGCCGTGCTGGCGTCAGGGGACACTGCAAGAGACCTCAGTAGTGTTGGCGACTCAGAGTCTGCCGTACAAAGTCTGCCTGAACCAACAGCACAAGCAGCACGAACAGCAGGGGCAGCAGAAGCAGCAGAAGCAACAGAGGCAGCAGAAGCAGCAGACACGGGTGATAGAGGTGAAGCGGCAGAAGCAGGTTCAGCAGGGGAAGCAGGCCCGAGCGGAGCAGCAGTTGCTGCTGCAGCTGGGGCTGGTGCCGGGGCAGCAGTGGCAGGCGCCGTGGTAGGAGGAGCTCTAGGCGCTGCTCTAGGCTCTCGGGAAATCTCTAGAGACGATCCCAGAGAGCAGTCCGGTGGGGGGTCGAAACGAGCCACCCCTGGGACTCCGCTAGGTGGGAGCTCGCCTGTGTCTGCAGGGGAAGGGGGGGGCAGGCGGGAGGCGAAGGCGAAGCGGAACAGGGTGGGGGAGGGGGCGTTTGGATCAGGGGATCAGCAGGAAGGGGTGTTCGGTGGGGAGGTTTCTGGGGGGAGCGGACGGCAGGGGAGCCAGGGGCGCGGAAGCATGGGGAGAAGCAGCGGCAGTAGTGGCAGTGGCAGAGATAGGGATACGCTCCTGCAGCAGCAGCAGGTGCAGCAGCAGCAGCGGCAGCAGCAGCAGCAGTCATGGTCGAAGCAGCCCCTACCTGGTCATGGTCCTGGCGGCGCTACTGGTATGCCTCCTATACGCAGCAACAGCGAGCTTCCCCCCCTTCCCTACCGCAGCACCAGCGGCCTTCCCCCCCAGCCCCTCCGCAGCAGCAGCGGCCTTGCTGCCCTCTCCGCACCAACCAATAGCAATCTCCTGCAGCGCGCCGCCACGGGCAGCGGTGACCGTTGGATCTTCCACTCTGGCGCGGATCGGGACCAGCTTGTGGAGTCGGATTCAAGTGATGACTCGGAGACGATGAGTGGGCGGCTGGAGGGCGGGTTGGGGGACTCGTGGGGGAGAGCGCGAGGGGGAGACGAAGCAGGGTCGTTCAAAGCGGGGAGTCTGGCGAGTCAGGGGTCTAGAGGCGGAGGCATGAGTCCCGTATCTGAAATAGGGGAGCAGGGAGCGGGTACCATTTCAGGGAGAGCGAGGGGCGGGTTATGGCATGGGGCTCCTCGCCCTAGCAGCGCGGGCAAGTCTGGGAGATCACGGCTAGGAAAGAGATCGCCTAGAGGTTCGTCTCTAGGGGCAGGGATGCTGGAGCGAGTAGCAGGTGGGACGGCGGACAGCAGAGGGAGTTTTGGCACAGGGGCGGAGATTAACAGAGCGAGTAAGAGCATGAGGGGGTTGCCAGTAGAGGGGTTGGCCAGCGCTGGGGCTAGTGGGGCGTGGAGCTCGTCGGATGGCGAGGGGAGTGTGGAGAGGAGGGGGGCAGCAGCGGCGGCTCAGCCTGTGGTTGTGGGATTTGTGGGGCCTGCCAGGCCGGGTACGCCTGTTTCGCTGTCCAGGGTTGGGTCTGGGGCTCCTGTGCTGCGCCCTGCGACTTCGGGGGGTTTGTTGCTGGAGGATGTGGGGAAGTATGATGACTGGGTGGTGTATGAGAGTGAGGGGGAGGAGGAGGAGGTGCAGAGTAGGCTTGTCCGGGGGAGGGGGAGAGTGGTGGAGAAGAGGGTGGTGCAGGAGGGGGGGGTGGCGGGGGTTGTGGATAAGAAGGAGGTGAGGGAGGGAGGGCATGCACAGGGAGTAGGAGCAGCAGCAGCAGCAGCGGCAGGGGCAGGGGCAGCGGGGATGACGGTTGGGAATGTGGGGCGGAGGAATGGGGTAGAGAGGGACGTGTGGAGAGCAGGGGAAGAGGACTCTGATGACTCGGACTCGGAAATCAAACACGAGGCGGGATGGGGGCCTGCCTCACAACAGCAGCAGCAGCAACAGCAGAGTAACGGATTCATGTTCAACAGCCAAGGGGGAATGCCAGGGGGCGGGTTTCACCCGGGGGAGGTTCATTCGGGGCAGGGTCAGCCTGGCGCAAGGCATGCACCCCAGCCACCCACCAGCCCGCGACCATCATCTCCCCGACCTCTCCCTTTCGCATCTAGGTCTCGGTCCTCTGCCCCCGCTCCTCCTCACCCCCAGCAGCAGCTCCCCCCTCGCCCTGTCGGCCCTCCTACCGCCTCCTCCTCTCAGCTCGGCCCTTCACAGCCCCACCCATTCGCGTCAGGAACAGCAGGTAAGCCGCGCATACCCCCCATCCCCCCGGCTTATGGTCACTCCCCTGCTTATGCCGCACCTGCTGCTGCGTCTGCTGCTGTGCCGGGTTCCGGCCTGCACCCGTTCGCCCCTGGCGGTTACGCGGGAGGGGCGGGAGCTCCTGCAGCAGCAGCAGGGGCTGTGCCTGGGGGCCAGCAGGCAGGGGGGCAGCAGGCAGGGGGGCAGCAGTCGTGGGGGGGGTCTGTGGCAGGGTTCTTTGCAGGGGCAAGCGCGTTTGTGTTTGGGGCGAAGCATGACGGGCAAGCAGGGAGAGAGGCAGGGAAGGAGGCGCAGCAAGGAAAGGACTTGAATCAGGCAGGTGATGCTGGGGCTGGGTTAAGGGACGGGGAGCAAGGGGGGTCTGGGGCGGCAGGTACAGCAGCTGCAGCAGGTGTAGCAAGTGTAGCAAGTGGGGGCAGTGGTAGTGGCGGTGCCAGTGGTAGTGGTAGTGGTAGTGCTATGCGCCCTCCTCGTCCTCCTTCCCTTGCCATTCCTGGAGCAAAGGATAATGCCACTAGCCCTGGTGCTGGCCGCTATTCCACCCATACACATGCAGGAGCAAACGGAGAGGTTGCAGAGCCGCCAGCAGCAGCAGCAGCAGCTAGTGCTGCTGGTGCTGCTGCTGCTGCTCCTGGTGTGTTTGTGCTAGCGGAGGGGCATGAGGCTCTTATGTCTCCCATTGCGTTCGTTACAGTGTCGCCTGCTAAGAGCACAGGGAGAGGCGCAGATGGAGCTGCATTGCCAGGGGCAGCTGCAGCAGCGGCGGCGGTGCCTGGGAGAGCGGTGGGAGGAGCAGCAGAGATGGGGGTGATGAGTCAGCAGCCTGCACAGGGGTACCGGCCTGGGGCGGGGCTTGGTGGGTGGAGTAAAGGCTCTGGTGCTAGGGCTGGTGGGTTTGGTATAGGGTGGGGGGAGGGGAGTGAGGAGGAGGAAAGTGAAGAGGCGGAGAGTGAGGAAGCGACGGAGGAGGGTGAAGAGTATGAGGAGGAGGAAGAGGATGAAGAGGAGGAAGAGGAGGAGATGGAGTATAGTAGTGATGAGGAGAGTGAGGAGGAAAGTGAGGAAGAGATTGAGGAAGAGAGTGAGGAGGAAATTGAGGAGGAGAGTGAAGAGGAGATCGAGGAGGGGAGCGAGGAGGCAACTGAGGATGCAAGTGAGGAGGAAGAGGAGGAAGAGGAGGAGGAAGAAGAGAGCGAGGATGAGAGTGTAGGTGCGTGGGTGGGCAGACCGATACTGGCACCGTCACAGGGAGGCACTCCCACGGGCTATAGCGGCATGAAAACCCCCGATGCAATCGGAGGCATCGTGTTTATCAACGAGTACGGCGCCGCACCCCCCTCCCCTTTTCTGGAGGCAAATTCTATGCGTACTGGAGGGGGTACGAGCGGGGCCAGCACGCCGTTGAGTGGGGGAGCTGGCATGGGAATGGGTGGGGCGAGTGGGGCAATGGGGGGGGGGAGCAAGTCGCCTAGTGGCAGGCCAGGGGAGGATGATGAGCGTGTGTTTGTGGTTTTTAACAAGTCGAGATTCTCACCCACTGCTGCTGGCGCTGCTGCTGCTGCTGCTGGCGCTGGTGGTGCTGCTGGTGGTGCTGGTGGTGGTGGCTTGTTGGCTGATACTCAAGGATCAGGGACCCTTGTGGTGAGGATTGAGAGAGGTGCGGAGGAGGAGGGAAGTGAGGAGGACGAGGGGGAGGTTGGCAGTGAGGGGTGGGATGGAGGGGAGAGTGGGGAGGAGGATGGGAGTGAGGGTCGGAGTGGGATGGAAGGAGAGAGTGAGGAGGCTGAGAGTGAGGAGGGAAGTGGGTTTGATGGAAGTGCTGAGGGAGAGAGTGAGGGGGAGAGTGAAGGGAGTGAAGGGGAGGAGAGTGGGACAGAAGGGAGTGAGATGAGGGTAGGTAGGGAGGAGGGAGAAGATGGGGAATTTAGTGCGGTGGAGAGTGGTGCTTCTGGAGGGAGTGAGGGGAGCGAGGAGGAGAGTGAGGAGGGGAGTGAGGAGGGGAGTGAGGAGGGGAGTGAGGAGGAGAGTGAGGAGGGCAGTGAGTCAAGCCTTAGCCCTGTGGGGAGTTCAGACGAGGGAGAGACTGAGTACGTGGGGAGTGGGGAAAGTGAGACAGAAGAGAGTGAGGAGGAGAGAGGGAGTGAGGAAGAGAGTGGGAGTGAGGAGGAGAGTGGGAGTGAGGTGGAGAGTGAGAGTGAGGGGACGGAAAGTGGTTCGAGTGAAAGCGAGGGGAGTGAGGAGACAGGGTCGAGTGATGATGAGGATGGCACAACTTTGGATGGCACATGGGACGGCACATTGGATGGCACAATGGATGGCACTGTGGGCGGCACAATAGACGACAGAACGCTGGATGGGACAGAGGTTGTGACTCCAGGCGGGAGTGACACTATGGAGCGGACTTTCACCCTGGAAGAGACCGAGACAGCTGTTAGTGAGATGCTGGGAAGGACGTTGACTAGGGAGGGGAGTGGGACTATTGAGGGGAGTGAGCTTATAGAGGGGACGGATGCAATGGGGCGAAGTATCACGTTTGAGACAGTGGGGAGGACTGAGACGTTTGAAGGCAGTGGGACTATAGAGAGAAGTGGCACTATGGAGGGGAGTGGTACTATTGGGAGGAGTGACACTATGGAGGGAAGTGAGGCTATGGGGAGAACCAACACGTTTGAAACCCTCGGGGAGACTAGGACTTACGAAGGCAGTGATACAATGGAGGGGAGTGAGACTATGGAGGGGAGTGAGACCTTTGAAAGGAGTGGCACTATGGAGGGGAGTGAGACTGCTGGGACGGCAGATAGAACCTTGACTTCGGAGGGAACTGATGTTCCGAGTGATAGTGAAAGGGGTGGCCGTAGGAGGGCAGACAGTGACAGGGACAGCAGTCAGAGGGATGGTAGCTCGTATGAGGAAGATAGCTTATCCAAGGGGAGTGAGGAGAGTGAAGAGAGTGAGGAGAGCGAAGGGAGTGATGTGACAGAGAGTGTGGAAGATGGTGATACTATGGAGGATAGTGATAGTATGGAGGGGAGTGAGGCGGTGAGCAGGAGTGCAGCGAGCAGGAGCAGAGGAGGGTACAGTGATGATGTTGTGCTTATAGAGGTGGTGACTGTAACAGGGTCTCGAACCAGTGGGACCCGGGAAGACTTGTCGAGCGTGCGAGGGATGAGTGAGATTGGGAGTGAGATGGGGAGGAGTGAGATGAGTAGGAGGAAGAGAGCGGGGAGTGAGAGTATGGGGAGTGATACAGATGGGACAGAGATGGAGGCAAGTGAGTCGGGCATGAGTGGGAGCGAGGAGAGTGGGAGTGAGGGGAGTGGGGATGAGGAGAGTAGGAGTGAGGAGAGTGGTAGTGGAGGGAGCAGCAGGAGTGGAAGTGATGAGAGTGAGGGGAGTGAGAGTGAGGGTAGTGAGAGTGATGGCGATGAGAGTGCAAGTCACAGCTCAGCAGTGTCTGGAACATATGACTCCCACTCCCACACCCATTCACAGAGCAGTGAGGGTTCCGAGTCTGAAGGTGGCTCAGAGAAAGGAAGCATCCACTCTGGTTCCCACACAACCAGCCCTCATACTACACTCACCCAAGCGTCTGCTTCAGAGGTTTCAGGATCGGAATCTGGCGAATCAGAGTCAGAGAAGATGTCCAGGTCAGGTTCTCACGCGTCCAGGTCAGCATCACATGCTTCCAGGTCAGCATCACATCATTCCAGGTCAGCATCGCACCGTTCCAGGTCAGCATCCGATGCTTCAGGAGGAGCGGGAGCGAGCAAAAACGGGACTGCTGCAAGCTGCAGCCCCTCTGAAGCAAGCCGGAGGCCCTCTGCTGCAAGCCAGTCCCCGGGCACAGAGTCGCCTCCTAATGAGTCGCTCAGTAAGGGATCAGTGGGAAGCCAGTCTCGGCTGGGAAGCAAGAGTGGGTCTGATGGGAGTGGGTCTCATGCTAGCAAGTCCCTTGCTAGTACATCCCACTCTAGCAAGTCTCGTGTGAGCAGCTCTCAAGCTAGTAGGTCTCGTACTAGTGGGTCGCAGGGTAGCAGGTCGGTGAGGAGCAAGTCAGAGGGAAGCGAATCAGAGAAGAGCGATTCGGAATATGAGGGTACGGGTGAGGGGTCTGAGGAGGAGGGTGAGGGATTCAGCAAGAAGGGCAGTGAGAGGTACAGCGATATTGATAGTGGGAGTGAAGGGAGCAAAGAGAGCGAGAGTGTGAGGAGTGCGAATAATGCTGCTGTTGGTGCTGCTAATGTTACTGCAAGTGGTGCTGCTAGCCCCAGCCATCAGCTTGGGACGCCAACAGGTGGCGCTGCGTCATTGGCGGATGCGATGCGGTCGCCTGGATGGAAGAGACCCCTCACTGTGAAGGTGGGGGGTAGCTCCCAAGAGCCTAGTTCAGAGGAAGAGGAGGTGGAGGAGGAGGAGGAGGAGGAAGAGGATGATGATGAGGAGGAAGGCAGTGAGGGTGTTACTGCAACTGAGGAGGAGGAGGAGGAGGAGGAGGGAAGCTCAATTGAGGATGAGGATGAAGAGGAGGAGGAGGAGGAGCAGGAGGAGAGTGTGTTTACAGACAATAGGAGCTCAGAGGGACAAGGGAGTTTAGAGAGCGACAGGAGGTCAGAAAGTGAGAGGGGATCAGAAGGGGAAGAAGACGAAGAGGAGGAGCAGGAGGAGAGTGTGTTTACAGACGACAGGAGCTCAGAAGCAGGGCAAAGCACAGAAAGTGACAGGCGTTCAGAAGGGGATAGGTCAGAGGGTGACAGGTCAGAGGAGGATGGGATGTCAGAGGGAGAGGATGATACCGAGGAAGAAGGAGGGGAGAGTTTTGGGAGCGAGGAGGAGGAGAGGGCGGCAAAGATGCTTCGAGCAGAGAGCAAGAGGCGGTTTGATGCAGTGCTCGGGCAGCTGAAGGGGCAGCTGAAGGTTCTGTCGCAGCAGGATTCACAGGGGAGCGGGCAGTCTGAAGGCAGTGAGGGGAGTGGGGAGGGGAGTGAGGAGGGGAGTGAGGAGGGGAGTGAGGGATTTTGGGGGTCTGATAGGAGTGGAGTGGGTGTGGGAGATGGGAGGAGAGAGGAGGAGGAGAGTGGGGAGGGTGAGGAGGAGTATGAGTCGGCGAGTGAGAGAGGGGAAGAGTCGCAAGAGGAGGATGAGTATGGTTCCAGAAGTGCGAGTGAGAGAGAGAGTGAGAGGGAGAGTGAGAGCGAAGGAGGAAGGCACGAGGAGGAGGAGGAGGAGTGGGTGGAGGAAGAAGCAAGGGATTCGGTTAGGAGTGGTTCGGAGGAAGCCTGGGTGCACGGCAGTGAGGAGGAACAGGATGATTCAGAAGAAGGGGAGGAGGAGGGGGGAGGGGGAAGGGAAGAGGAGGAGGAGGGGGAGGGGCAAAGGGAAGAGGAGGAGGAGTACGGTTTCTCATCAGAAGATGAAGCTTCTGCTGCTGTGCCCGCTGCTGCAGTAGTTACTGCAGCTGCTGCAGCTTCCCCCATGGCCCCACCTGCTCTAGTAGCTCGAGCTGCCCCACCTGCCCCACCTGCCCCACCTGCCCTAACTGGCCCAGCACCCCCAGCACCCCCAGCAGCCGCAGCAATCCCAGCACCCGCAGCAACCCCAGCAGTCCCAGCAGTTCTAGCTTCCCCCACAACCCCAGCTTTTCCAGCAGCTCCCCCGCAGAGGTTCCACCACCCACAGCCGCCCACCACGCCCTCTCTTCAGCCGTCTCCACCCTCCCTCGCCTTGCGCCGCTCCTTCAAGCGCCCCCAGCCCCTGCGCCCCTCCTCCTCCGCCTCGCCCCACCCCTTCGCCCAAGCGACTGGGTCTGCTGCCAGCACTCCACAGAGCACGGGAGGGTCCTCTGGAGGGTCTACCCCCCACAGTGCAATCGCCGTTACCACTAGCGCGTCTGATATGGCTGGCCCTCGGCCTACAGGTGAGTTTCCCTCTCCCTTTTACCGGCCATCATCCCCTGGTTCTGCTTCTGCTGCGCTTGCTGCTTCTGCACCTGGAGCGCCTGTGTCTGCTTCGCCTGTGCTTGCTGCCGCACCTGCATGTGCTTCGCCTGGCCCTGCTGCCTCTGCTGCTCCTCTTCCTCCTGCTGCTGCTGCCTCCGTTGTTGCCCCTCCTGCTGGCTCGACTGTTGCCCCTCCTGCTGCTGCCTCGGTTGTTGTCCCTCCTGCTGGCTCGGCTGTTGCCCCTCCTGCTGCCCCTCCTGCTGCCTCTGCTGCTACTGTCTTGTCTGCAGGTCCCCAACCAGTGCAAGAAAGCGAGCACTACACTACGAGGCTGCTGACCAATCAGGAGCAGCGTCCACCTGGAACAGCAGAAGCAGCAACGTCACAAGCAGCAGCTTCATCAGCAGCAGCTGCTGCAGTGGTGCCTACTGGCAAGCCATCCAAGGCTGTTCCAGCCGCCTCTCTTGCCCTAGCCCCTGCTGTTCCTCCAGCTGCCTCCCCTGCTAGTGCCCAACCTGCACCCCCTGCCGGCACCTCCGCTGCAACCCTAGCTGCATCTCCAGCAGTGTCCCCAGCCGTCTCTCCCAAGCCTAGTACCAGCTCCTCTCCCTCCCGAGGCGTCTCTGCGTGGACCTCCCTCTTCCGTCCCCTCTGGGGCACCTCGCCTGCCACTGCTGCCACTGCCGCTCCCGCTGATGGTGCTGATGGTGCTGCTGGTGCTTCTGCCGCTGCTGCAGCTGTTACAGAGCCGGTCGTTCCTTCAGCAGCAGCAGGGCCTGCAGCAGCTGTACCGCTGCCAGTCGCCCCACCTATGGTAGCGCCTGCACCAGTAGCACCTGCACCAGTAGCGCCTGCACCAGTAGCACCTGCACCAGTAGCACCTGCACCAGTAGCGCCTGCACCAGTAGCACCTGCACCAGTAGCGCCTGCACCTGTAGCGCCTGCACCAGTAGCGCCTGCACCAGTAGCGCCTGCACCAGTAGCGCCTGCACCAGTAGTGCCTGCACCAGTAGTGCCTGCACCAGTAGCACCACCACCACTAGTAGCACCTGCAGCAGCAATACCTGCACCTATAGAGCCTGCACGAGCCCCTGCAGTAGCAGCAGCTGCTGCTGTTGGAAGGAAGACCGCTCCCCCTGTTGCTCCTGCACCTCCCCTCCCCACACCTTATCACCAGTCTTCTCCTCCTCACTACCCACCCCATCCGTCCCAGCATCCTCCCCCTCCTCCCCAGTATTCCCCTTCTCCATCCACCCCAGAGTTCTCTCCCCTTCCCTTGTCTCACCCCCCTGAACCCATCCCCTCTATCCTCCACCCAATGGACCCACGTGCACATCCAGTTTCCGTGCCTCCTCACACTACAACCTCTCCACCTGCCCTTACAACAGCCTCTCCCACCACCTTTGCTACAGCCGCTCCTACCACCACCCATGCTAAAGCCTCTCATCGCCCCCAATTTACTGCTGCTCCCTCTCCTGCAGTCCTCCACCCTCTGGACCCACGAGCTCAGAAGCCGCTGCCAGCACAGGTGCCTAAAAAGACTCAAGGGCTTCAAGTGACTGAAGGGGACGAAAGGACTGAAGGGGCCCGGGATGGGGTTTTCCCCGTAGGCGCTCTGGTGCATGGATTGTCGGCTGACTCTGATACCATGTCGGCTGGATCCAGGCACGATGCCTATGCTGATGCTGACGCTCCTACTCATGCCGGCGCTGGTGTTGATGCTGGTGCTGTTGCTGATGCCGATGTTGATGAGAGTGGGAAAGGCAAGTATGGTGGTGGTGCAGGGTTGGTCCCTCCGGCCTTAGTCCCCGGTGGTGCAGGGAGCTCTCAGGGCTCCAGCCGGCCCGAGTCAAGGGAGTCAACAGAGTCAACCAGGGCGAATGAGTCACCTGAGAAAGCTGTATCAACGGCAGTTGGTGCAGAAAGAGGAGGGATGGAAAGAGGGGTGGAAAGAGGGGTGGAGAGGGGTGTGGAGAGAGGGGAAGGAGTGGTAGCGACAGAGGCATGGGTGCTTGCAAGCATGCGACAAAGAAAGAGGCTACAAGGAGGCTCGGAACAAGGCTCGGATGGAGGCTTGGAAGAAGGTTTGGAGGGAGGCTTGGAAGGTGGTCAGGATGAAAGTCCGGTACAGCTGCCTGGGAGGGGTAGTGAGTGTGGGGTAGTGGGGAGGGAGGAGAGTTTTGTGGCGGATAGTGGTTACAAGGGGAGTGCATTTGAGGGAGAAGGGGGTGAGGGAGAGAGAGAGGGTAGTGAAGGGGATGCAAGGGCGAGTGAGGCGGAGAGTGTGAGTGGTAGTGGAGAAGAGAGCAGGAGCAGTGTGGGGGGGAGTGATTATGGGAGTGAGGCTGAGAGTGATGTTGAGAGTGAGGGGGAAAGTGTTGATGGAAGTGGTCTGAGCGCGGAAGGAAGTGAGGGAAGCAGTGAGGAGACAGGGAGCAGTGAGGGAGAGAGTGAGGGAGGGAGTGGGGAGAGTGAGGAGGAGAGTGGGGAGGAGAGCGGGGAGGAGAGTGAGGGTAGTGTGACGGAGACAGATGCAGTGACCCGATCCAGCTACTCAGGGAGTGAGGGAGAGGAGTCAGAGAAAGAGGATGGGTCGAGCGAAGGGGAGAGTGAGAGTGGGGAGAGTGAGAGTGGGGAGAGTGAGAGTGGGGACAGTGAGAGTGGGGAGAGTGCGAGTGGAGAGAGTGAGAGTGGAGAGAGTGAGAGTGGAGTGAGTGAGAGTGAGGAACTAAGTACAGTAGGAACGATGAGTGTGGCACGGGAGGGAGGAGCGGCGGGTTCAACATATGCTGAGACAGAAACCGAGGCAGAAACAGAGACAGAAGCAGATGGGAGGAGTGAAAGGGTGGGGTTGGAGGTGGATGGAGAGAGTGTGGTGACAGAGGAAGGGGTGCTGATAGAGGTGGCGAGTGTGGCGAGTGTGGTGGGGAGGGGGAGTGTGGTGGGGAGGGGGAGTGTGGTGGGGAGGAGTGAGGGAGTGAGGGTAGACAGTCTGCTGATAGAGGTGGAGAGTGTGGCTGGGGGGGAGAGTGTGGCGGGTGGAGGGAGTGTGTTTGGAGGGGAGAGTGTGGTGGGAGGAGGGAGTATACTGGGAGAAGAAGATGTGATTCTTGAAGGGGGAGAAGAGGAAGCAGAGGGAGCACGCAGTAGGGAAGGAAGCGAGCCGGACAGGAGCGTGGGAAGTGAGGGAGTGGAAGAACATGGGAGCGAGGAGAGTGAGGAAGTGGAAGAAAATGAGAGTGAGGGGAGTGTGTGGAGCGAACATATCAGCGGCGGGGAGGGGTTGGGTGGTGAAAGAGGGAGTATCGTCGGGAGTGGAAGTGAGAGAGAGGAGGCTGCGAGTGAGGGAATGGTGAGTGTGAAGGATGAGAGCCACTACGAGAAGCTCAGTGGTAGTGGAAGTGAATCGGGGTCCAAAGAGGAAGTGGAAGAAGAGGAATTGCCTGTGTCAATGGCAGCTGAAAAAGTGACAGCAGCAGCACCTCTGAGTCTTGATGAAAATCTCAGTGAAGTATCGGCAGAATCTGAAGAGGAAGTGGAAGAAGAGGAAGTGCCTGTGTCAGTGGCAGCTGGAGATGGCACACCAGCAGCACCTGCACTGGTAGCGGCAGCAGCAGTGGCAGTAGCACCAGTTTCAGCAGCAGTAGCATCAGCAGCTGAGCCGGGTAACAGTGGCAGCACCAGCAGAGCCAGTGGCAGTAGCAGCAGCAGTGCCTGCTACTGCAGCAGCTGCCAAGCCTGCGGATGTGGCAAAGCCTGCTGACGTGGTGAAACCTGCTGACGTGGCACAGTCTGCTAACGTGACCAAGGCTGCTGCTGCAGCAAAGGCTGCTGACGTGTCGCTGGCAGCACTGATGGCAAGGACACCCGACGCGAGGCCGGTGACTCCGGTGCGGCACAGGACGTGGCTGGAGGTGCTGCAGAGCCATGCGGTGCTGTCAGAACTGGTGAGTGTGTGGTGCTGGGTGGTATGGTATGGTTTTAAGACTTGTAAGGGTGTCCCAGAGTGATGTAACAAGTGTCAAGCTAGTCGGTGCAGCGCAGAACATGGCTGAAGGTGCTGCAGAGCCATGCAGTGCTGTCGGAACTGGTGCCATCGGAACTGGTGCCATCGGAACTGGTGCCATGCACTGCACTGCACTGCTGCAGTGGCCTGCAGTTCCTATGCTCCGTGGGCCCCTGCATCACAGCTGCCTGATCTTTCACCTTCCCTGCACTTCCCAACCTGCCTGATTCTTTCTTGTCTGCCGCTTTGCAGATGACGGAGCAGGACATGGGTGCGCTGCAGTTCCTGTGCTCCGTGGACTTCTACAAGTCGCAACACAGCATGGTGTGTGATGTTTAGGCTTCGCGGTTCCGGGTTTCGGGTTTTGGGCACCATGATTTATGGCTGTGTTTGTGAGGCATGACAGAATGTTGTGTGACGTCGCGCTTTTTTTTTTTTTCAACCAAACCTTGCCGCCGCACCCTTGCATTTTCAGATGCAACTATTGCTTGGGTTGTATTACTGTGACTGTCCTTATCACCTGTCTCCAGGATTTCCGCGTGGACTTTCTCTTTGACGCCAATCCGTTCTTCACCAATGAATACGTATGCCCTACCTACCTGCCTACCTACCTTCATGCACGTCTACTGCCGTTTCAGATTTTGCCCATTGTTCTTCCTCATTCGGTTTGATTTCATGCCAGTGCTTTTCCTGCTTCCGAAAATTCGAGTCTGATCTGGCTTGGTATGACCCCCCTACGCTAAACTCCAAACCCTCGATCCTCCTCAATCCCGAATCCCCAACCCCTGAACCCGAAACCCCTTATCGCGTGCAGCTGAGCCGCGTCTTTGCTGTAGCGAGAAACCCCAAGGCTGACCCAATCATCATGTCGATTCACTGGTACGTGTGATATGAATGAATGATGACTTAATCATCATGTCTTATCTCTGGTATATGCTGCAATATAAGCAAGCATTGAATGTGAATCCCCTCCTTGCCATGTGATATGGCCTTCACTCCACCCACCATATCTGTTGCCCGTTTTCATCATTATCCCAAGCCTTTCCTCGGACATTCCGTCAACCTCGGCATCTCCTATCTTTGCTCGCCTCACTCCCATGCCTTCTGCCTCTCCTCTCAACCTGCCAGCACCCCCATAGCATGGCAACCAGGCAGGGACTTAACTAAGCGTCGCACGGGGTGGTTCGGCTGGGCTGCTGCCACTCTCACGCAGGGAGGGAAGGGAGGCGGTGCTGGTGCGGGTGGTGGCAGGAGCAGCTTCTTTACACTGTTTGCCTCTCGACCTGCCCTCTCTGCTTCTGAAGCCAACGAGGAGGCTGTGGTGAGTGGCGCTGGCAGACTGGCAGTGCTGGTGTCGATTTTGTTCTGCTAGTGCTGCTGGCAACAATGGTGGGTGGTAGCAGTGCTGGCAGAAGCAGCTTCTTTTCTTTCTTTTAGAATCTTTCTGACCAGCGACCACTATTCTTGCTGAACAATCGATCTCCCTTTTCCCCCGCATCCTTTCCCCATGAGCCACCCATCAGCGCATGAAGATGCTGGAAGAAGCCGCTCTCACCAATGGCCTTCTTCAGCTTCATACGTGCTGTACCGATTTCTATCCAATTCTCTCCCTGCTCAACTCCCTCCTACCCCCTCCCTCCTACCCTCCCCCCTCGTCCCCCTTCATCTCCTCCTCCCTCCCATGAGCCACCCATCAGCGCATGAAGATGCTGGAAGAAGCCGCTCTCACCAATAATCTCCTTCTTGCTGAAATCCCTCCTACCCTCCCCGCCCTTTCCCCACCCTCCCCTGCCTCTCCCTCCTCCTTCACACCCATCAGCGCATGAAGATGCTGGAGGAAGCCGCTCTCACCAATGGTCTCCTGGAGTGAGTTGCCTGTCTACCCCTTATCAGAAAAAAAAAGATCCGAGTTTATGTATTTACTTCGTCTCAGTTGTTTTTCTTCTCTTCTGTGTCTCAGTTTCGTTTTTTCGTCTTCCTTTTACAGTCAGCCCAGAAGTTTCAATTCAGTCTTGGGTACTAATTGGTCGGTAATTTATATAAATATATATTAAAAAAAATACCTTTTTTCTTTTCGGATGCAGGTCATCGGAAGGTCCTGTGGTGTCGAGCTTGCTCCGCTGGTACACTGTTAAGTCGCTGGGGGGTGGAGAGGAGGAAGAGGTGGAAGAGGAGGAAAAAGAAGAGGAGGAGGAAGAGGAGGAGGTGGAGGAGGAGACGAAGAAAGCTGGGGGAGCTGAAGCTGTAATGACTTTGGAGACGTCTCAAAAAGCGAGTCCTGCAGGGAAGCAGGCAGATGGCCGTCCTAGTATCGAGGAGGAGGGAGAGAGAGTGGAAGACGGAGAGAGTGTGGCTATGCGGCAGGATGCGGGAGAGAGTAGGGAGGAGTTGAGAATAGGGCGAATGGTGGGGGGAGAGAGTAGGGAGGAGTTGATTCAACGGGAGGTGGAAAAGAAGCAAGGAGGAGAAGAAGAGGAGGAGACAGAAGTGAGTCAAAGAGAGGAGGAAGAAGAGGGGGAAGAGGAGGAGAGTGGAATGATTGTAAAGGACCAAGGCACGTTTGAAAGGGATGGGGAGATGGAGAGGGTAGGAAGGAGCAGAGAGGAAGAAGGGGCGAACTTAAGGGAGGTGGAGACGACGACAGGGAAAGCAGCAGACGTAGCAGGGACGGAGATCGAAGGTGTAGGGGCGGAGATTGAGGGTGTGGGGGCGGAGATTGAGGGTGTGGGGGCAGAGATTGAGGGTGTGGGGGCGGAGATTGAGGGTGTAGGATTGGGTTTGAAGGGAGAGCGTGCAATGGTAGTGGCAGCAACAAGTGATGCAGAGGGGGGGAGTGAGAAGGGTGAGAGTGAGACGGGTGTGACCGAGAGGGAGGAGAGTGAGTGGGAGGAGAGTGAGAGGGGGGAGAGCGACAGTGGCATGAGTGGCGAGGTTGAGCAGGACAGCTGGCTGGGTGAGGGGACGGCAATCGGGACAATGCAGGTCCAGAAGTTGAAGGATGGAGGGGAAAGAACGGCAGAGGATGAATACGAGGAGGAGGGGAGCAGTAAGGAGGAGGAGGGGAGCGATGAGGAGGAGGAAAGTGATATTTATGTGAGAGGGGACGATCTGAGGGGTGATGACCTGAGGGACGATGACCTGAGGGGTTCCAGTGGCAGTCTAGGGGATGCCATGCCTGGTATGGCAGGGGGAGGAGGTGGGGAGGAAGGGGAAGAGGAAGGTGCAGCAACAGGGGCAGAGGCAGGGGCAGAGGCAGGGGCAGGGGCAGGGGAAGTGGGGGGTGGAGTCGAGGGCGGGACGGAAGAGGAGGATTCGTGGATCGGGGTCCGCGTGGGTGGGAGGAGCGAGAGTAGAGAGGGCCGTGACAGGGGTGCGTTGCGATACGAGGGGGTAGGGAGTGAGGGAGGGAGCGAGGGAGGGAGTGAGGGGGAGAGTGAGGGAGGGAGTGAGAGGGGAAGCGATAGAGGGAGCGAGGGGGGGAGCGATGGGGGAGGGAGTGGGCAGGGGAGCTCCGTGGAGGGCGAGCTAGCAGAGCTGATGCATGCTGTGGATGGGCACTCGCTGCCCTTCTGGCATGCTGTTGCTGCCACAGGCGGAGATGGGCTGGTGGGACTAGAGGGACGGGAGGAACTGGAGGGTCTGGAGGGACTAGAGGAACTAGAGGGAGCAGAGGGAGGAGAGGGGCTAGAGGGCTTGGAGGCCCTGAAGGAGGCGGATGCTGATGCTGCTTCTGCCGCAGGTGTGCCTGCTCCTCGCTCCCGTACAGGGACGCCAATGCCTGGCATCCGTGCTGCTGCGTCAGGGCCTGCTGCCGCTGCTGCTCCGTCTTCTGCTGCACCTTCCATGTTCTCACGAGCAGGAACACCCATGCCGGGTGTCCGTCCTTCTGGCTTACCTCCTCCTCCTCCTCCTCCTCCTCATCCCGTTCCCGGTGGTGGTGCTTCTCGTGCTGCTTTGCCCGCTGCTACTCCCGCCTTTGCCTCCCGTGCCGCTACTCCCATGCCGGGAGTGCATGCTGCTTCTGCTTTGCCTCCTCCTGTTCCTCCTTCTGCTGCTGCCCCTGCAGCGTTCTCTCGTTCCACCACCCCCATGCCCGGTGTGCATGCCGCTCTTGCTCCTGCTCCTCATCCTTCCAGGGCAGTAACACCCATGCCCGGTGTGCATTCTCCTGCTGCTCCTGCTGCTGCTCCTGCAACATTCTCTCGTGCCACCAGACCCATGCCTGGTCTCCATTCTCCTGCAGCGGGCTCCACTGCTCCTCCCTCTGCAACCGCTTCTCCTTCGTTCTCCCGCACTCTCACGCCCATGCCTGGCCTCCCCCCTCCTCCTGCTCCTCCTCCTCCTCCTCCTGCTTTCTCCAGGGCAGTGACGCCCATGCCTGGGATTTCACCTGCTTCTAGTGCTGCTAGTGCCCCTAATGCCCCTACTGCTACTGCTTCATTCTCCAGGGCAGTGACGCCAATGCCTGGGATTTCACCTGCTGCAAGCTTCCCTCCTCCACCTGCTCCCCATCCTCCTCATCCCGCTGCTAGTGCTGCTAGTGCTGCTAGTGCTGCTAGTGCTGCTGGTGCTGCTGGTTCAGCATTCTCCTCCAGGGCAGTCACGCCGATGCCTGGTGTCCATCACCCCTCCCCCTATCCACCTGCTGCTGCTGCTGCTGCGCCTCCTCCTGTTTTAGCTTCTGCCGCGCTCTCCCGGACAGTGACGCCCATGCCAGGTGTTCGTGCTGCAGCTACTCCCATGCCCGGCGTTCGCGCCACAGCAACGCCCATGCCTGGCGTGCACGACATGCCTGATGTGCGTGCCACAGCTACACTCATGCCCGGTGTGCGCGCTACAGTCACACCCATGCCCGGCATGGCTGGGGAGAACAGCAGGCAGCAGCAGCAGCAGCACCACGGGAGAGCTGCTGTCAGCAGGGGCCACTCGCGTGGAGCGACTGAGGGGGCTGCGTTTTACACCCCCGTTGAAGGGGCAACTGCGTTTTACGGCCCACCAACTGAGCATGCGGCCTTCTTCGCCCCCCCTACTGACGGGGCTGCGTTTTACGCCCAAGCTGTAGGGCGCTCCCAGTCCCACAGGCACGCTGCAAGCCCCTCCCACTCGTATTACAGGCAGGCTGTAAGTCACGGTCGCAGCCTGAGCCACGGCCCTGGGGGGTGGGCTGTCACTGACCCTCACTTTGCTGCTGCTGATCAAGCTGGGACGGAGAGCGGTTTGGAGGTGTGGCGTGCGGTCATGCAGGGGTATGGGGAAGGGGGTGTGGGCGCAGTGGGGATGGGGTATGGGGAGCAGGGTACACGGACAGGGATGCAGTATGGGGAGGGGGGTGGGGGAGCAGCGGGAATGGGGTATGGGGAGGGGGATAATGTGGGGGAAGCAGGGATTGAGTATGGGCTGGGAGGCAGTGAACAATCAGGAGCAGTGATAGCCTGTGGGCCGTGGCAGGAAGGGGGAGAGGGGGTTGTGGGGGGGAGTCAGAGGCTGGTGGTGGCGAGTGGGAGTGAGAGGGACGGCGATAGGAGCAGTGTGGGAGACAGGAGCAGTGTGGGGGATGGGAGCAGTGTGAGTGTGGGGGATAGCCTGGTGTCGCTTCTGAGAATTCTGAAAAACGAGGGGGAGGGCGATGGGAGCAGTGTGGCGGATAGTCTAGCAAGCAGCATGGATGGTGGTGGTGGTGGGGGCATGCCGGGTATGGCCGATGGGAGGTCTGGTATGGGTGATGGGAGAATGAGTGTGGGTGATGGGAGAATGAGCGTGGGTGATGGGAGAATGATTGTGGGTGATGGGAGAATGAGTGTGGGTGATGGGCGTTCAGGGATAGCCGATGCGAGGTTTGCGCATGCTCTCAGTCAGTCATTGGCACGGGCGGCTATGGGGAATCTAGAGTCAAATCAGAAGCCACTGCAACCACAGTTACAGTCACAGTCACAGTTACAGTCACAGTCATGGTCTCATCAGTCTGTGGCAGCGGCTGTGGCTCGTGATGCTCTGGGAATGAGCTTTGATGGGGATGTGCGAAACCTCTCTCAATCCCAATCTCATTCCCACTCCCACTCTCGATCTCAATCCCACACCCACGCCCACCCCCATGCTCACCCCCACCCCCATAACCACGACAATCACCACGCGTACAAGTATCAGAGGCATTCGTTGCCCCAGTCAGACACGGAGGGGGAGGAGGATGGAGAGGCAAGGCCGTGGCTTCGTGTTAAGACCCGTGCCTCTCAGACGAGCTCTTGGCATAGTGGGAAGTGGAGCAGGGAGCAGAGCGAGCAGCAGAGTGGACAGTGGGGTATGCAGCAGAACAAGCATCAGAGCAGGCAGCAAAGCAGGCAGCAGAGCATGGCTAGCATTAGCAGCCGGCATTCCAATGGGATGGAGAGTGTCCTCTGGGCCCCCACCACTGCAACCAGTTTCAGTGGCGCTGCTTCTGCTGGCGCTGGTACTGTTAGTGATATCACTCGTGGTGGTGGTGTTGCTGCTGCTGGTGCAGCGGGGAGGAGAAGGAGAGGTTTTTCCCTGGGGTCAGGCTCGGAAGTCTCGTCCCTCCGAAGCAGATCCCGAGGGAGGGGCGGGTCTCTTAGTGATGTGACTAGCCTGGGGATGAGTGAGGGGGAGGGAGCGAGTGAGGGAGTGAGTGAGGGAGTGAGTGAGGGAGAGAGCACCCGGTCTGTGGAGGCGGAATTGGGAGACCTGATGGACGCTCTAGATGGTGAGCTGTCACCGTTCTGGACCGCTCATAACAGTGTGGGGAGCTTGGGGAGTGTTGGGGTAGGGAGGACTGGCAGCATTGGAAGCATTGGGCTGGGCAGGACTGGGAGCTTTGGGAGTGTTGGGAGCGCAGGGAGGATGTTGAGGGGGAGTATGGGGAGTTTTAGGTCGGTGAGGGAGGAGCGGGAGGCAGGAAGGGGAGGAGAGGAGGGTGAGGAGGAGAGGGAAGCGAGGATGGATGTGTGGAGAGAGGTGATGGGGAATTACTGGGAGATGAGAGGGGCGGGCGCGTTCGGGTATAGACATGCCGACAGACATGCAGAGAGACGTGAGGATACACACGAGGACAGGGATGAGGATATAGATGAGGAGGGTATAAATATGAATGGCAAGGTGGATGCGTATAAGGGGGGAGAGGGCCGGATGGGTGGTGCGTCACAAGACTCACAGATGCTATTGTATGACAATTTGGGAGAGAGTGTGAGTGGCAAGGTTGGGGAAGAGTATGAGGAACAGGAAGAAGAGGAGGGCGGTTTGGAGGTTGAGGATAGGGAGGACGGGCATGAGGAAGAGGAGGAGGAGGAGAACGAAGAGGAGGAGGAGGAGAACGAAGAGGAGGATGGGAGGGTGGTTGTGGTGTTCAAAACTGCAACCCGAGCTGCTGAGATCCACGTGGAGGAGAGTGATAGGGGCAGTGCGGATCACTCTGCTGACGTGGCGAGTGATTTGAGTGAGCACGCGCTGTACAATGCTGAAGATGATGTGGCAGGTGCTGGTATTGTGACACGTGGGCGTAGCACACAGGAGGAGAGTGGAGAGTGGGATGTGCCAAGGGATTTGGAGCAGGAGAGGGGGACTGTCGGGGGAGTGGAGGATGAGGGTGAGAGGGTCAAGGTGAGTGGAAAAGCAGGAGCAGACAGTGATAATATTGGTGGTGGGGATGATGGTGCGGTGGCATCTCATGTCTTATCTGATGGGGTACACGATAGTGAAGAGAATGATGATTCGGGGGACATCCATGGTAGTGTGTATGAGGATCAAGAAACGGAGGAGGAAGGGGTAGAAGAAGAGGAGGAGGAGGAGGAAGAGGAGGAGGATGAGAGGGTGGTAGTGGTGTTTAAGACAGCAACCAAGGGGAAAACGGATGAGGAGGAAGAGGAGGTGGTGGGAGAGTCCACGACTGAGAATGGGTCACTGACTGAGGGCCCTCTGGATACGGATACTGAGGATGTTGATAACGAGTATGAGGACAACGAGAGGGTGGTTGTGGTGTTTAACCGGCCGAGAACTGGTGAGAGGAGGGACCAGGGGGAGGATGAGAGGGAGGATGAAGATGATGGGGAGGATGAAGATGACGTGTTGCTAGGCAGTGTGGTTGGGGATGCGATTCTGACAGGAAGTCAAATGGCCAGCCAGACAAGCAGTTATGCTGGTGAGGAGGAGGGTTGGGAGGCAGGAGAAGAGGAAGAGTTGATTGCTGGTGATAATAGTGAAGAAGGGAGTTTGGAGGATGGGGAGAGGGTGGTGGTTGTGTTTAAGAAGGCAACACATGCTGAGAAGGAGGAGGAAGTAGAAGATGAGGAGGAGGTGGAGGAGGAGGAGGTAGAGGAGGAGGTTGGAGGTATTAGCGAGGAGGGGAGTCTGGAGGATGGGGAAAGAGTGGTGGTCGTGTTTAAGAAGGCAACACATGCTGAGGAGGAGAAGGAAGAGGAGTTAGAGGAGGAGGAGGAGGTAGAGGAGGAGGAGGAGGAGGAGGAGGAAGTAGAGGAGGAGGTTGCAGGTATTAGCGAGGAGGGGAGTTTGGAGGATGGGGAGAGAGTGGTAGTGGTGTTCAAGAAAGCAACACATGCTGCGAAGGACGAGGAGGAGGAGGATGATGAAGAGGAGGTGGGAGAGGGACGGAGGGTGGAAGAGGAAATGAGTGAGGAGGGAGGAGAGGGACTGAGGGAGGAGGCAAGGAAGCATGAAGACGGGCATGAGGAGGAGGAAGAGGGGGAGGAAAAGGAGGAAGAGGAGGAGCAGGAGGAGGAAGGCTATGGGGAGGAGGAGGATGAGGAGGATGGGGAGAAGAGGAAGGAGATTGAGCGATGGATAGAGGTGGCAGAGATGGAAATGGCACAGACGAGCCCGCAGGGGGGAGTTAGCAGCAGGCGTAGTGGCAGCGGGGTGAGCAGTATTGACCTGAGCTTCAGTGTTGACTTGAGCAGAAGCAGGAGCAGGAGCAGGAGTCGGAGCGATAGTGGGAGTAGGAGCGAAAGTGGGAGCAGTGGCAGTGGAAGTGGGAGCGAGGGGAGTGAGAGTGGAACAGAGGCGAGTGGGAGTGAGAGAGAGAGGGTGAGGAGGGAGAGGAGTGAGGCGAGTGAGGAGGGGTCACAGGGAGAAAGCCTTGGGAGCAGCATCAGCAGTGGCAAACGCAGAGATAGGAGACACTTGAGCCATAGCAGAAGCAGAAGCAGTAACAGAAGCAGAAGCAGTAGCAGACACAGCAGCAGACACAGCAGGAACAGCAGTAGGCATAGCAGCAGACACAGCAGTAGACATAGCAGTAGGAGCAGGAGCGCGAGGAGGAGTCACAGCAGTGGTCCAAGCAGTAGGAGCAGAGATGAGAGTGTGGCGAGGGGGAGTGTGGATGAGAGTGTGAGTGAGGGACTGAGCTTGGAAGGGAGTGAGAGGAGAGTTGGGAGTGGGAGTGTGAGTGGGGGTGGAAGCAAGCGGTCGGGGAGGAGTAGTGTGAGTGAGCGACAGAGTGACCATTTGGTTGAGAGAAAGGTGGAGACAGCGAGTGTTGGTGCGAGTGAGAAAGCGAGTGAGGAAGGTAGTGAAGGTGAGAGAGGGAGCTTGAGCAAGAGTGATAGTGGCAGTTGGAGTGAAACGAGGAGCAAGCACAGTGCCACCGGCACTGCTACCGAAAGTGCTACGAGCAGTGTTACTGGCAGTGTCAAAAGCAGCGCTGCTGACAGTGCTGCATGTGGTAGGAGTCAGAGTGGGAGTGAACGAGCGAGCGAGAAAGCCAACAGCATGAGGAGCAGTTCTGATAGCAGTGGTGAGAGAGAGAGGAGTGACAGTGAGCGTGAGAGAGTGGTGGAGGAGACTTTGAGTGAGCATGAGAGTGTGCATGAGAGTGTGGGGAGGAGTGTGAGTGATCATGAGAGTGAGCATGTTAGTGAGCGTGAGAGTGAAATGCATAGTAAGGGCGAGAGTGATGGGGAAAGTGTGACCCTTAGTGAAAACGAGGGGAGTGGAAAAGATAGTGTGAGTGGAAGTCACAGCGAAGGCAGTAGTGCGAAGGATGACACTGAGAGTGTAGCGAGTGAGGGTGTGAGTGAGACAGTGAGTGAGGGAGTGAGTGAGGGGATGAGTGAGGGAGGGAGTGAGAGTCCGAAAAGCAGCAGAAGCCATAGCAAATACAGCAGCACGAGTTCCAAACATAGCAGTGCAGTGAGTGTAAGCAGTAGCGTGCACAGCCACCACAGCAGCATTGACAGTCAGCGCAGCAGCTCGCACAGTCAGCGCAGCAGCTCGCACAGTCAGCGCAGCAGCTCGCACAGTCAGCGCAGCAGCTCGCACAGTCAGCGCAGCAGCTCGCACAGTCAGCGCAGCAGCTCGCACAGTCAGCGCAGCAGCTCGCACAGTCAGCGCAGCAGCTCGCACAGTCAGCGCAGCAGCTCGCACAGTCAGCGCAGCAGCTCGCACAGTCAGCGCAGCAGCTCGCACAGTCAGCGCAGCAGCTCGCACAGTCAGCACAGCAGCACACACAGCAGGAGTGCAAGCAGCCATGCTCGCAGCAGTAGCAGCAAAAGCGATGCGTTCAGTGCTGCAAAGAGCGAGGAGACATCTGCTAGTGAGCGTTCTGAGACGACCCAGGACTCGCTCAGTGGAGCGAGTGGGGATGCTTCAGCCGCTGTGGGCAGAGTTGGTAGCACAACAGGCAGTTTGAGTGGCAGCAAGAGCAAGCACAGCAGGGGCAGTAGTGTAAGCAGGGGGAGCAGTGTAAGCAAGGGGAGCAGTGTCAGCAAGAAAAGCAAGGGAAGGAGCAGGGAGAGCAGTGTTAGCAAGGAAAGTAGGAGGAGCAGTGTAAGCAGCCCTAGGTCGGATGGGGACAGCTATGACGGTGGTTCGGGGAGTGGTGCTAGTGACAGGGAGGAAGAGAGGATGAGTGGGGAAATGGAAGAGAGTGGGGTAGTGGAGGAGAGTTGGGTAGTGGAAGAGAGTGGAGTAGCGGAAAGTGGTGCAATGGAGAGCTGGAGTGGGGTGGAGGGGTTAAGTGACGAGGAGCAAGGGAGCGAGGTCCAAGAGGCTCAAGCACACGGGAGTGAGGAGCGAGGGGTGGAAGGGCAGGAGAGTGAGGAGCGAGAGGCTGGAGAGCAGGAGCGTGAGGAAGATGGTGTGGATGTGTGGAGCAGTGAGAGTGACGCATGGCCTGAGGCAGAGGGAGAGGCGAGAGAAGAAGGGGAAGGGATAGTGCCAGCACCAGAAGCTGTGAGTGGGGATGGTGCAAGGGGTGTTGTGGAGAGTGATGAGGAGGAAGATGGGACAAGCTGGGTTACCAGCATCGTATCTCCTCTGCAGCAGGAGAAGGTGGCCCCTGGACACGTGGTGGATGCTGATTGGACGGAGGAGCTGGGGGAGGAGCAGCAGGTGGTGCAGGTGCCAGGAGCAGAGGGTCAGGTGGATGGTCAGGTGAATGATCAGGTTGGTCAACAAGCAGGTGAGCTACAGCAGCAGCACCAGGATGAAAGGGAGGTAGCAGCAGCAGCAGCGGCGGCAGCAGCAGCGGCAGGCAGAGCGGTTGCTGAGAACGGGGCAGGGGTGGGCAAGGATGGAATGTCACGTTCAATAGAAGGCGATGGGATGATAAGGCAGACTGGCGAGGATGGGGTGATGAGGCAGATTGGCGAGGATGCGTATGTGTACGAGATGGGGGATGGTGTGCGAGGAAAGAGCAAGGATGAATCGGCACGTTCAGCAACAGGCGAGGACGGGGTTATTCGGCAGATTGGCGAGGATGCGTATGTTTATGAGATGGGGGATGATGTGGGAGCATGTGAGGAGCTGGATTGGAGCAGGGATGTGGGCGATGGGGGGGTGGGAATACCGGGGTGGTCGGGTGATTGGACGAGGGAGAGTGAGGTGTGGAATGTGGGTGGAACGAGGGATGAGACTGAGGTGCTGGGGGCGAGTGGTGTGATAGCAGGTGGTGCTGCCAGTGTTGCTGCCAGTGGCGCTGCCAGTGTTGCTGCCAGTGGTGCTGTCAGTGGCGCTGTCAAGTTGGACGGACAGAACGAGGAGGAGAGAGAGGAGAGAGAGGAGAGAGAGGAGAGTGAGGAGAGAGAGGAGAGAGAGCAGAGCGAGGACAAGAGAGAGGAGATTGGTGAGGAGAGAGAGGAGATAGCGGATGAGAGAGTGGAGAGAGGGGACGAGAGAGAGGGGAGCGAAGAGAGAGAGGAGAAGGGGCTGAGAGAGGAGAGAGATGACGAGAAAGAGAAGGGGGCAGAGGTCAAGGAAGAGGAGGATGTGGGGAGGGAGGACGAGGAGGTGAGTGAGGAGGAGGTGGAGAGGGAGGAGGAGGTGGAGAGGGAGGAGGAGGAGGAAGGGGCGAGGGAGGAGGAGGTGGAGGAGGAGGAGAGGGAGGAGCAGGTGAGGGATGAGGAGAGGGAGGAGGTGGAGGTAGAGAGGGAGGGGGAGGAGGAGGTAGAGAGGGAGGAGGAGCTGGAGAGGGAGGAGGAGGAGGAGGAGGAGGAGGAGGAGGAGGAGGAGGAGGAGGAGGAGGAGGAGGAGGAGGAGGAGGAGGAGGAGGAGGAGGAGGAGGTAGGGAGAGAGGGAGAGGACGAAGGGGAGGAGGAGTGGAGTGACATGAGCGAGGAGGAGTGGAGCAGCATGGAGCTAGCGGCCACCCAGTCCCCCTTCCCCGCCGCCTCCCCTCTCCCCTCCGCCAGCCCCTACGCTGCTCTCTCCCCACTGCCCTCCGCCACCCCAACGAGTGCAGGCATGGGTGCGCCTCTGGATAGTGTTGCGGTTAGCCTGGCGCTGCAGCAGCAGCAACAGCAGCAGCAGGAGCAGCAGCAGGAGCAACAGGGGCAGCAGGAGGAGCAGGAGGGGCAGGAAGCAGAGGGCCTGGCAATCAAAGAGGCGGAGGAGGAAGACGAGAAGGAGGATGGGGAAAGGGATGAGGGGCTTGAAGGGCTTCAAGGGCAGAGCAGCGCCTTCGCGTTTGCCTCGGGCAGTGATTCCTCTGTGCTGCCCCTTGCCAGTCCTATGGCGCTGCCTCAAGATCGAGCTGCTGTTGGTGGGGGTTCATGGGCGGAAGAGACTCAGCAAAATCGAATCTTTGGAAGCTCACTTGGTGGTGCCGTTCCTGTGTCTCAACGCACTCCTGCTCTTACCACCTCTGCTGCTGTGCCGCGCTCCGTTGCTGCTGCCGATCTTGCTGACGTGGCGAATGCGCATCATGCTGACGTGGCACGTGCTGGGTCGGGTGCTCCACGTCAATGTGAGATCCCTGTTTTGGAGGCACGTTCGATTCCAGCTGGCAGCTCACCTGATATGGCACTGGATAGAGCACCTGATTCGGCACCAGATAGGGTACCTGACAAAGCACTTGAAATGGCACCTGAAACTACTCCCGATGTGGCACCTGATTCGGCACCTGAGAAAAGATCTGCCTCTGTTGAGGTGCTTCCTTCAGGTGCTGTCTCTGTTGTGTTGCCTTCAGGTGCTGTTTCAGTTGTGCTACCTTCAGGTGCTGTGTCTGTTATGCTGCCGTCAGGTTCTGTCACTGTTGCACTGCCGTCAGGTGCCGTCTCTGTTGGTTCAGGTGCTAGCCCTGATCCGCGTGCTGCAAATTCTCCTGAGACTGCGGAAGCGAGAATGGATCAAGGTGAGTGGGAAGATCTTAGGGGGACAGAGGTGGAGGAGGGGTCAGAAGGAAAGGGGAGTGAGAGTGATGAGGAGGGGAAGAGTGATGGGAAGGAAGAGAAAGCAAGTGAGGACGAGAGTGAGGGAGAGGGTGAGAAGTGGGAGGAATCTGAGGAGTGGAGTGATGTTGGTGATGCAGTAACCAGTGAAGCCGGTGATGTGGTCACCGGCGATGCTGGCGATGCTGTAACCAGTGATGCTGGTGATGCAGTAACCAGCGATGCTGGTGATTCAGTAACCAGTGAGGCTGGTGTTTTGGTTACCGAAGTTGGTGGTTTGAGCGTGAGTAGCACAGAAAGGACGGCTGAGGAGGCAGTAAATTGGGCAGAAGAGAGTGAGATGATGGCAGACAAAGATGGTGGGGAGGGAGTAGTGAGTGAGGACTGGAGTGAGAGGGAAGAGAGCGAGGAGGAAGGGTTTGAAAAAGAAAAGAGTGAGGAGGGAGGGAGTCATATGGAAGGGAGTGAAAGCGAAGGGAGTGAGAAGGAAGAGAGTGAGAAGGAAGGGAGTGGGAAGGAAGGGAATGAAGAGGGTGAAACCAGAGAGGAGGATGCAAGAGCATCAGAGGAAGCGCAATCTATGGCCCTTGGCAACGCAGCCGGCAGAGTGCAAGAGCAAGGCGCTGTAGAAATTTCTGAGGCGCCTCAGAAGTCTATAGGCCTTGATGATGCAGATGGCAGAGTGCAAGCACAAGGAGCGGTAGCAGCAGAGGAAGAGGGTTCGATAAGGCCTCTGGCAACGCTCATGGCCCAGAGGTCATGGCCGGCAGTCGCTGCTCTGGCCGTGGGAGGGGGTGGGGTGGCAGCAGCACAGGCTGATGGGCTGGTGGCAGGAGGTGACTGGGAGAGCGAGGAGTGGAGTGATGTGGGGTCCGGTGTAGGTGAGTGGGAGGAGGAGGTTGTGGGATCTGGAAGAGTGGAGGGAGAGAGTCAGGGAGAGAGTGAGGGAGAGGGTGAGGGAGGGAGTGAGGGGGTTGGTGAGGTGGATGGAGAGAGTGAGGGTGAGGTGCGGGATGGAGAGAAGCAGGAGGATGAAGTTAGCAAGGGAGAGGAGATTAGAATGGAGGATGGAGATGGAAGGAGTGAGGAGGCTGAAGAGGGGGGAGAGGAGGTGGGAGAGGATAAGGAGAGAGAGGATAAGGAGAGAGAGGATAAGGAGAGAGAGGATAAGGAGAGAGAGGATAAGGAGAGAGAGGATAAGGAGAGAGAGGAGAAAGAGGGTCTGCAAGGAAGCAGCGCAGACATCGCAGGAGAAGTAAATCTGCCAGCTGATGAGAGTGAGAGGCATGTGGGTAGGAAGGAGGAGCAGGAGGAGGAGGAGGAGAAGGAACGGGATGAGAGGGAAGTGGATGGGGAGAGGGAGCGGCAGGGACAAGAGGAAGTGGAGGCTTCACACAGAGAGGAACTGGAGGGTGTTGCTGAAGGAGGGAGGGTGGAGGAGGGAGAGGAAGGGAGAGTGGAGGAGAAAGTGGAGGAAAAAGGGGTAACGGAAGGGAGGGTGGGGGGTGAGGGCAGAGATGCACATGCAGAAGGGAGTGAAGCAGAGGATGGGAGTGAGAGTAGAAGTGAGTGCATGAGTGGAAGGGAGAGTGATAACATGAGTGAGAGAGAGAGTGAAAGCGAAGGTGAGAAGGAGAGTAAGAGCATGAGCGAGAGGGAGAGTGACAGCATGAGTGAGAGGGAGAGTGATAGCATAAGTGAGAGGGAGAGTGATAGCATGAGTGAGAGGGAGAGTGAAGGTAAGAGGGAGACAGAGAGTGACAGTCTGAGTGATGGGGAGAGTGAAAGCGTGAGTGAGAGGGGGAGTGAAGGTGAAAGGGACAGGGTGAGTGAAAGTATGAGTGGGAGTAGAAGCGAGAACGGGGCTGAGAGTGAGAGTGGAAGTGAGAGGGATGCTGGAAGTGAGAGTGAAAGTGAGAGGGATGCTGGAAGTGAGAGTGAAAGTGAGAGGGATGCTGGAAGTGAGAGTGGAAGTGAGAGGGATGCTGGAAGTGAGAGTGAAAGTGAGAGGGATGCTGGAAGTGAGAGTGGAAGTGAGAGGGATGCTGGAAGTGAGAGTGAAAGTGAGGGGGGGGCTGAGAGTGAGAGTGCAAGTGAGAAGGGATCTGAGAGTGAGAGTGGAGGTGAGAGGGGGGCAGAGGGCACTGGCGCTGTAGCAGGGGGCACTGCCATTGCAGGAGGTGTGGCCTTTGAGTCGACTGAAGAAGAGATCGCAGAAGGCGCAGCAGCTGGCACAGCAGAGGCAGAGGCAGAGGCAGAGGCAGAGGCCACCACGACAGGCAGTGCAGTGCCGGACGAGCCTTTCGTGTCCAGCGCCCTCCTTGCCACACATTCAATCCCTGTCTCCACCACTGTCGCAACCATTCCTTCTGCTCCTAGTGTTTCCACTGCCCCTACTGCTCCCTCAGTTTCCTCCCGCGCTGCCAACTCTTGGATCCGCCCTGCACAGCCTTCTTCCCACTCCGACTCAGGCTCGGACTCTGACTGGTCCGACTCCGAACCTGCGCCCAAGCCTGTGCCCATCCGAGCCTGGAGGGCAGGCATGGCGAGCGCAGCACTGGCTCCTGCGCCTGCCGCCTCTCCTCCCCCACAAACTGCAGCGGTGGGGCGACTGCAGAGTGACTTCCTGAACCGCTTCCAGCAGCAGCAGCCGGAGGAGCAGCAACAGCAGCAGGCCTCTGAGGCTCCCCTCACACCTCCACAGCAGCAACAGCAGGCATCTTTGAATTCCGCTGCACTTGTGGACTCTTCTGCTGATGTGGCGCAGGCTGCTGATGTGGCGCAAGTTGCTGATGTGGTGCAACCTGTGGACATGAAGCACGCAGCTGAGGTCAAAGCAGGTGACAAGTCAGAATTACCTGCTGGTGGTGATGATGTGATTGCTGATAAGGAACAGTCTGCACATGTGGTATCAGCTGCTGACGTGGCACCCCCTGCTGATGTGGACGTGGAGGGTGATTCCAGACCATCTTCTCCAGAGGGGTCAGCCACCAGCATCAAAGATGCTGCTGATGTGGCAGCTGAGTTGGATGCTGATGTGGCAGCTGAGGTGGCTCTGGATGCAGCTGGAGGTGCTAGTTTGCTGCTGGCAAGTGAGTTGGTTGCACCTGTGCTGCAGACGAGAGGAGAGGCCGAGGAGGTGGAAGCAGAACAGGAGAAAGCAGATGTATTTTCGGGACCAGATTCTGAACCTGACTCTGATTCTGAACCTGACTCTGATTCTGAACCTGACTCTGATTCTGACGTGGCTGCTGATGTGCCTGTTGACATGGCTGCTGATGTGTCTGTTGACATGGGTGCTGATGTGTCTGTTGGCGTGGTGGCTGATGTGGCTGCTGACATGGCTCTGCGAGTGCCTGGAGGTGAAACTGCAGTGGTGCCATCTCCATCACGATCAGACTCCGAGTCTGACTCTTCTTTCGGAACTGATGTGGCTGCTGACGTGGCCGCTGATGTGGCTGCTGACGTGGCCGCTGATGTGGCTGCTGACGTGTCGTCTGATGTGGCACCGTGTGCGGCTGGAGGTGAGACTGCAGCACTGCCATCCCCATCTGGACCACACTCTGAGGTTGACTCTGCACCAGAAGCTGATGTGGCTGCTGACGTGGCTCTGCATGTGTCTGACTGTGAAGCTTCAGCTCTGCCATCGCCACCAGGATCAAACTCTGACGTTGACTCTGCACCGGAACAAGAGAGGGTGGAGGAAGAGACAAGGAGTGAGGATGCTGAGAGGGAGGAGGAAGAGACAAGGAGTGTGGAGGCTGAGAGGGAGGAAGAAGAGACAAGGAGTGTGGAAGCAGAGTGGGAGGAGGAAGAGACAAGGAGTGAGAAAGCAGAGAGGGAGGAGGAAGAGACAAGGAGTGAGGATGTAGAGAAAGAGGAGGAAGAGAGGGGGAGTGAGAAAGCAGAGAGTGCGGAGGAAGATGGGGGTAGTGATGATAAAGCAAGGCTGCAGGAGGTTGAAGTAGAGGTTATAGCGATGGGTGGGGCGGCAGTTGTGGCTGTCGCGGTGCTTGCAGGGGTGGATGGGGCGGCAGCGGACGAGGAGGGTGAGGGGATGCTGGGAGCAGTGGAGGGCAGGGAGCCGTTGGGGGCGGAGGAGGGAGAGGAGAGTGAGGAGGGTAAGGAGAGTGAAGAAGCTGGGGAGAGTGAGGAGAGTGAGGAAGCTAAAGAGGTGAAGGAGGCTAAGGAGGAGCATGAGGAGGCCGAGTCACATTCTGATGATGCTGAGTCACGCTCTTATGATGCTGAGTCACATTCGGATGCTGAGTCACGCTCTGATGCTGAGTCACGCTCTGATGCTGAGTCACGTTCTGATGCTGAGTCACGTTCTGATGCTGAGTCACGTTCTGATGCTGAGTCACGTTCTGATGCTGAATCACATTCTGATGCTGAGTCACGTTCTGATGCTGAGTCATGTTCTGATGCTGAGTCGCATGCTGAGTCACTTTCGGACGCAGCTTCTGCAGTCGCTGTACCTCAGTCTCCTGCGGCACCTCATTTGCCAGCTGGGGATGAAGCAGCTGCTCCTCTCAGTGCTACCATCCTCTCCTACCTCTGCCACCCAGTCGGGCTCACCTGCTGTGCCTGAAGCTGCTGCTGCTCCTGATCTGCCTGCTCTGCCTGATTCTCCTGCTGCATCTGAGGCGCCTGCTGTGGAAGATTCTCCTGCTGCACCGGAATCACATGCCATACCTCGTTCACTTGCCGTGCTTGATTCACCTGCGGGGGGGGATGAGCCACCTGATTCTCTCAGCTCTGCCTCCTCTCCTGCCGCTGACACCCATTCGGTGGTTCTAAATGAGAGAGAGAAGGAGGAGAGCGGGGTGACACCTGCTATATTAGATTCGTCTGCAATGCCTGATTTCCCTGCTTTACCTTACACACCTGATTCACCTGCTGCACCTGATTCGCCTGCCGCACCTGATTCACCTGCCGCACCTGATTCACCTGCCGCACCTGATTCACCTGCCGCACCTGATTCACCTGCCGCACCTGATTCGCCTGTCGGAGCTGAACCAGCTGCTCCTTTCAGCCCTGCCTCTCCGGCTGCGTCTGACTCCGAGTTGGTGGCTCAAGTTGAGAGCGAGGAGGAGGAGAGGGTATTGGTGCCTGCTGTTTCTGCTTCTCCTGCTATATCTGATTCTTCTGGCGCTGATTCACGTGCAGCATCTGAAACACGAACACCTGCTGTACCTGATTCACCTGCTGCTGCACCTGATTCACCTGACTCACCTGATTCATCTGCTGCATTTGAAACACCTGCTGTACCTGATTCACCTGCCACAGCTGAGGAAAGTCAAAGGGAGGAGGAGAAAGGTGAAAGGGAGGAGGAGGAAAGTGAAAGAAAGGAGTTGGAAAGTGAAAGGGAGGAGGTGGGAAGTGAAAAGGAGGAGGTGGAAAGTGAAAGGGAGGAGGTGGAAGAGGAGGAAGGAAAGTGGGAAGAGGAAAAAGAGGAGGAGAGAGGAGACGAGGCAAGGGGAAAGGTGGAGAGAAATGAAGAGGAAGCAGAGACGATGCAAGAGGAGGAGAGGGGAGAGGAGGAAAGAGAAGAAGACGGAGAGGAGAAGGTAGAAGAGGAAGAGAGCAGAGTGGAGGTGATAGAGGAGAAGGTGAAGAGAGACGGTGTGTCAGGGGCAGAGGAAAAGACGGAAAAAACTGGAGACCTTGAGAGAGAGAGCATGAACCGAGAGGGTGAGGAGGGAGAGAGTGTAGTGGGAGAGAGTGTGGAGGGAGAGAGTGTGGAGGGAGAGAGTGTGGCGCGAGAGGGCGCAAAGGGGGAGGATAATGTGGCAGTGCCGGCAGGTGATGCAAGCGTGAGTGGCCAGAGCACATCAGAGGCTGCTTCGAAGAGAATTGAAGTGTCAGAGCCTGCGCCTGTGGCAGCAGTAGAAGCTGAATGGGCAGACATGGGAGGATCAGCAGCGGTGGAAGCGAAGCAGCGGTGGCGGGAGAAGAAGCAGTGGAAGGGTCAGCAGCGTTGGAAGGAGAATCAGTAGAAGGAGCAGCAGCAGCACTGGTGGCTGAAGCACCAGGAGCAAGGGAGGACGGGCAAGCAGCAGAAGATGAGACAACACCCCCCTTGGTGGAGCAGACGCAAGCAGCAGCAATGGCAGCAGGAGCTCCATTGGTTGACACCGTTCACCCTCTTCCCACCCACTCCTCGTCCCTTGCTGTTCCCTCTCCTCCCTCTCCCCTCCCTGCGCCCTCTGTTCCCTCTGTCCCCTCTCCTCCATCTGTTTCCTGCCGCCCTGCCAACTCATGGATCCACCCAGCACAGCCTTCTTCCCACTCCGGCTCTGATTCCGAATCTGACTGGTCCGACTCCGAACCTGCGCCCAAGCCTGTTCCCATCCGAGCCTGGAGGGCAGGTATGGCGAGTGCAGCAGCAGAAGCACCGTCTCCTGTGCCGGCTCCCGCTCCTGTTGTTCAAACTGCAGCAGTGGGGCGACTGCGAAGTGACTTCCTCAACCGCTTCCAGCAGCAGCAGCAATCTGAGCAGCCCTCTTTGCCTCCTCTTGGGTCTCCACAGCAGCAGCAGCAGCAGCAGCAGCGGCAGCAGCTGCAGCAGGTGGAGGGAGAGAAGGAGGGAGAGGAAGAGGAAGAGGGTACGGCGATAATGGAGGTGAAGGAAGGGGGTGTGTCAACAGGAGATGATGAAGCTGCAGTGGCAATGGCAGAGGGTGAGGAGGAGAGGGTGGTGAAGGAAGAGGGAGTGGAAACAACAGAGGAAGAAAGTGTGGAAAGGGGAGAGGAGGAGGGAGTAGAAGCAACAGAGGAGGAGGGAGTAGAAGCAACAGAGGAGGAGGGAGTGGAAGCAACAGAGGAGGAGGGAGTGGAAGCAACAGAGGAGGAGGGAGTGGAAGCAACAGAGGAGGAGGGAGTAGAAGCAACAGAGGAGGAGGGAGTGGAAGTGGGTGCGGTTGAACTTGAGAATGTGGGGAATAAGGATGCAAGAATGGACGAGGAAGAGAGGATGGAAGAGGGTAAGGAAGAGAGGATGGAAGAGGGTAAGGTAGAGAGGATGGAAGAGGGTAAGGTAGAGAGGATGGAAGAGGGTAAGGTAGAGAGGATGGAAGAGGTAAGGTAGAGAGGATGGAAGAGGGTAAGGTAGAGAGGATGGAAGAGGGTAAGGTAGAGAGGATGGAAGAGGGTAAGCAAGTGAGTGAGAAAGAGTTTGAGGAAGAGAGGAAGGAAGAGAAGGAAGAGGAGGGTAAGGAAGAGAGGGTGGAAGAGGGTGAGGAGGAGACATTGGAAGATGGCGGTAAGGAGCGAGAAGAAGCGAGTAGGGAAGAGAGGATGGAAGAGGAAAGAGAGAGTGGAAGAGGAAGAGAGGGTGGAAGAGGAAGAGAGAGTGGAAGAGAGTAAGGAGGAGAGGAGGAAGTAGGTACGGAAGAGAGGGAGGACGAGGGTACCGAGAAGAGGGGCGGAAGAGAGTAAGGAAGAAACAGAGGAAGAGGTTAAGGAAGAAAGAGAGGAGGAAGTGACGGGAGAGGCAGAGGAAGGGGTTAAGGAAGAAAGAGAAGTGGAAGTGAAGGGAGAGAGAGAGGAAGAGGCTATGGAGGAGACAAAGGGAAATGATGCCTTGGCTGTCCCTTCCCCACCCGCACTCTCATCCTCTCATCCTCCCACCACCATCTCTCCAGCTCAACATCCCACCACAGCCATAACCGTCAATCCACGTGCCTCACATTCATGGATGAAAAAGCAGCAGACCCACTCCTCCGATTCAGGCTCGGACTCTGACTGGTCCGACTCCGAACCTGTGCCGAAGCCTGTGCCCATCCGAGCCTGGAGGCCAGGTGCGGGGAGTGGTGTAGCGTCAGTGGCGGCTGCGCCTGCCGCGTCTCCTGCTGCCCAGCCAGCAGTGGTGGGGCGACTGCGAAGTGACTTCCTCAACCGCTTCCAGCAGCAGCAGCAGCAGCAGCAGCAGCAGCAGCAGCAGATGATAGAGGGAGAAGGGAAGAGAGAGGGAGAGGGTGCGACAATACTGGAGGTGAAGGACGAGGGTGTGTCAACAGCGGAAGATCATGAGGGAGAGGAAGTGATAGTGACAGAGAGTGAGGAGGACAGAGCGGTTAAGAAAGGAGATTCAACAATAATGGAGGTGATGGAAGTGGGTATGTCAGCGGAAGATCATGAGGGAGAGGAAGTGATAGTGACAGATGGTGAGGAGGAGAGAGCGGTTAAGGAAGAGGGAGTGGAAGCGAGAGAGGGAGAGGAGTGGAAGCAACAGAGGAAGAGGGAGAGAAAGTGGGTGCGATCGAGGGTGTGGGGGGTAAGGAAGCAAGGATGGACGAGGAAGAGAGGGTGGAAGAGGGTAAGGAAGAGAGAGTGGAAGAGGGTAGGGTCGAGAGGGTGGAAGAGGGTAGGGACGAGAGATTGGAAGAGGATAAGGAAGAGAGAGTGGAAGAGGGTAGGGACGAGAGATTGGAAGAGGATAAGGAAGAGAGAGTGGAAGAGGGTAAGGAAGAGAGAGTGGAAGAGGGTACGGAAGAGAGAGTGGAAGAGGGTAAGGAGGAGAGCTACAGAAGAGGCTGGGTATGAGCGAGTGGAAGAGGATAGTGAGGTAGTGGCAGCGAGTAAGGCTAGGAAGAGGCTGGACGAGGAAGAGAGAGTGGAAGAGGGTAAGGAGGAGAGGATGGAAGAGATGCAGGAAGAGGCTAAGGAAGGAAAGAGAGGAAGAGGGTAACGAAGAGACCAAGGAAGAGGGTAAGGAAGAGATGAAGGAAGAAAGAGGGAAGGTGGTAATGAAGAGACTAAGGAAGACAGTAAGGAAGAGGTGAAGGAAGGAGAGGAAGAGGCTAAGGAGGAAATCAAGGGAGATGGTATCTTGGTTGTCTCTTCCCCACCCCCACTCGCCTCCCCCAGCCTCCCACCCTCCTGGCTTCACCTCGAATTCCCCCACCTTGCCGTTACCATCAAGCCCCGCGCTGCAGACTCATGGATGCGGCGACCCAATCAGGCTGACTCTGACTCAGCCTCGACTCTGACTGGTCCGACTCCGAACCTGCGCCCAAGCCTGTGCCCATCCGAGCCTGGAGAGCAGGTGCGGCGAGTGGTGTGGCGGCAGTAGCACCTGCGCCTGCCGCCTCTCCTCCCTCACAAACTGGCCCCGTGGGACGACTGCGGAGTGACTTCCTCAACCGCTTCCAGCAGCAGCACCAGCAGCAGGAGCAGGAGCAGCAGCAGCAGGAGCAACCCTCGGTGCCACCCGTTAGGTCCCCACAGCAGCAGCAGCAGCAAGTTTCTGAGCCTCCGTCACAACCCCTGCACGTGCAGCAACAGCAAGAACAGCAGCAGCAACAGGAGCAGCAGCAACAGGAGCAGCAACAACAACAGCAGCACGTTCTTACTGATGCTCCTGCTCAACTTGTGACTGTTACAGGTGTGGTTGACTCTGATATTGCGGCTGATGCTTCTGCTGCAGCTGAGGATGAATACGTTCCTGAAAACTCTGGTGATTTGGCAGCAGAGCCAGGAGCAGCAGCAACAACAACAGGGGCAGAAACGGCACTGGCAGTTGTTGCTGGGGATGAGGTTGGAGAGGGAGAGGGGGCAGAGACGGTGCAAGAGGAAGAGGTGCAGTCAGGTGAATTTTCAGGTGGAGAGGTGTTACAAGGCGACCTGGTTCCGGCTGACGTGGCATCAGACCCATCCACTCCTGTGCCAGCTGACGTGGCATCAGGCCCATCCACTCCTGTGCCAGCTGACGTGGCATCAGGTCCATCCACTTCTGTACCAGCTGATATGGCAGCAGATGCACCGTCATTACCTGAACCATCTGTTTCATCCAACAATCAGTCTCCTCCTCTCAGCCACTTTCCTCCCCTCAGCCTTCTACTCCTCCTCACCGCACAGCACCTGCCGTTACCATCAAGCCTCGCGCTGCAGAATCATGGATGAAGCGACCCAATCAGGACTCTGACTCAGGCTCGGACTCTGATTGGGTCCGATTCCGAACCTGCGCCCAAGCCCGTGCCCATCCGAGCCTGGAGGCCAGGCATGGCAAGCGCAGCGGCAGCAGCACCGACCCCCTGCATCTGCCGCCTCTCCTACTGCAGCAGCACCGGCTCCTACCCCAAACTGCATCAGTTGGGGCGGACTGCGGAGTGACTTCCTCAACCGCTTCCAGCAGCAGCCTGAGCAACTCCCTGTGCCTCCTTTCAGATCTCCACAGCCAGCAGCATCAGCAGCTGTTGGCCGTGTCTCCTGGTGAGCAACCCCTGCACTCCAGAGGTTGATGCTTCCGTTGGTTGCTGCTGCTACAGCTGCTACAACTGCATTGCAGCGGAAGCTGCTACTACACCTGCTAGTGCTGCTTCAGTTGTTGCTGCTGCTTCGGCTGCTACAGCTGGCAGTGCTGATTCAGCGAGTGCTGCCGCGACAACTGATAGTGCTTTCCTCTGCTGCTGTGGTGGCTGGTGCAACAGCCGTTGCCGGTGCAACAGCTATGGCTGCTGTGGCCTTAGCTGCCACAGCACCTGCTGTCTCGGTGCCCGTGGAACAGGGAGAGGTAGAACAGGGAGAGGGCGTCATTAGCAAGGTAGAGGAGGAGGGGGGTGAGTTTGAAGGCAGAGGAGAGGGTGGGGGAGCATGAGAGCAGAGGGTGTGGAATCTGCGGCTGCTGAAGGTCCGCTGGCTGATGCTGTGGGGGAGTTCTCTGCTGAGGTGGCATCAGAAACTCCTGCTGACGTGGCAGTGGAAGCAACGGCTGATGTGGCCACGGAAGCACCTGCTGAGGTGGCAGCGGAAGCACCTGTTGACGTGGCAGCGGAAGCACCTGCTGACGTGACAGCGGAAGCAGCTGCTGACGTGGCATCGGGTGCGGCTGCTGACGTGGCATCGGGAGCGGCTGCTGAAGTGGCATCGAAAGCACTTGCTGAGGTGGAGGAGCAGGAGAATGAGGCATGGGAGGAAGAGAAGGGGGAAGAGGGTGGAGAAGGAGGAGAGGAGGAAAACGAGGAGGATGAAAAAGAAGAGGAAGAAACGAAAGAAACAAAGGAGGAAGAATTGGAGAATGAGGAGGCGGAGGTAGAGGAGGAGGGTGCAGAAGGTGGGGAGGCTGCGGAGGGGGAGGAGGGTGCAGGGGAAGAGGAGGAAGGAGGGAGTGAGGCAGGAGAGGAATCCACTGAGGAGGTGACTGTAGAAGTGACAGAGGAATATGAGGAGGTGACTGTAGAGGAAACGGAGGAGTATGAAGAAGTGACAGTCGAAGTGACAGAGGAATATGAGGAAGTGACTGTAGAAGTGGAAGAAACGGGAGAATATGAGGAAGTGACTGTAGAAGTGGAAGAAACGGGAGAATATGAGGAGGTGACTGTAGAAGAAACGGCGGAATACGAGGAGGTAACTGTAGAGGTAACAGAAGAATACACTGAAGAGGAAGTTACTGTAGAAGTTACAGAGGAGTATACAGAAGAGGAGGTTACTGTAGAGGTTACAGAGGAAGTCACAGACGAGGATAAATCAAAGGAGGTGGCAGAGGAGGGAGCAGGTGCAGCAGGTGGAAAAGAAGGAGAAAGCGCAGAGGGACAAGATTCGGAAGGGGAGCAACAGGAGGAAGAGCAGGAGGAGGAACAGGAGGAGGAGCAGGAGGAGGACTATGAAGAGTATGAGGAGCAGGAAGAGGAAGAAGAGGAAGAGGAGGAGGAGAGGAGGAGGAGGAGGAGGCAAGTGAAAAAGAGAGCACAAACAGCAGCCCGAGGAGCAAGCCAGAGGAGAAGGAGAGAGGAGGACGAGGAAGCGAGGATAAAGCGGCAGGAGCAGGAGGAGAGGAACGCGGAGGAGCAGCGGGCGCTGCGGCTGCGTGTGGCGAGCATGAAGCGGTTCAATGCGGTGCTGGGGGAGCTCAGATTCCGCCAGGGCATCCGCGAGGAGGGGGAGGGGGAGGGCGGCACAGGGGGTGGCGGAGGGGGAGGAGCAGGGGCGGGTGAGGGGAGCGGGACGGGCGCGTCTGGGACAGGAGGTGGAGGTGCTGTGGGGCAAGCGGGGGGAGCAGCAGCAGGAGTGGCTCCTATTGCGCTTCCGGCCATGGCAGGTGCTGCTGGTCGGCAGCAGCCCAATCCTCACAGTCCGGGCAAGGTGAGCTGCATGTTTCTGCGTACTCTATTCTGACCTCCTCGCTCTTACCACTTGTAGATAGCCTGAAGTCCCAACCCCTCATTTTACCAATGTCGTGACAACCTTTCCCCTTTCTTCTCGCTCTTTTCCTCCACCCCTTCCACCCCCTTTGCAGCGATCGCGGATGCTGTCGCTGGTGGCGTCACAGGGCCTGCACGTGCCGGCGAGTGCAGTGACTCGCGAGATCATGGGGCTCACAGGGGGGAGTGCGGCTGGGGGCGAGCCGCAGTATGGTATCCTGGGACATAATGCTCACTCACCCGTGTTGCTTCCCTTACCCCCCTTTCATTGCTTGCAGCGATCGCGTATGCTGTCGCTGGTGGCGTCACAGGGCCTTCACGTCCTGGCCAGTGCAATGACTCAGGAGATCATGGGGCTCACAGGGGGGAGTGCTGGTGTTGCGCGTACCTCTTAACCATCCCTTCCGTCTCCCACTCTTTGTGTCTCTTCTCCCTCCTCCCCCCTTGCAGCGTTCACGGATGCTCTCTCTGGTGGCGTCACAGGGCCTGCATGTGCCGGCCAGTGCAATGAGTCGAGAGATCATGGGACTCACAGGAGGGAGTGCTGGTGCTGCTGATACCTGTTAACCATTTCTCCTCTCTCTCACTCTTCGCATCTTCCCTTCGAACTTGCAGCGTTCACGGATGCTCTCTCTGGTGGCGTCACAGGGCCTGCGTGTGCCGGCCAGTGCAGTGACTCGAGAGATCATGGGACTCACAGGAGGGAGTGCTGGTGCTGCTGATACCTGTTAACCATTTCTCCTCTCTCTCACTCTTCGCATCTTCCCTTCGAACTTGCAGCGATCGCGGATGCTCTCTCTGGTGGCGTCACAGGGCCTACATGTCCCGGCCAGTGCAGTGACTCGCGAGATCATGGGACTAACAGGGGGGTTGCTGGTGTTGCGCGTCCCTCTTAACCATCCCTTCCGTCTCCCACTCTCGGTGTCTCTTGTCCCTCCTCCCCCCCGTCACAGCGGTCACGCATGCTGTCGCTGGTGGCGTCACAGGGTCTGCATGTGCCGGCCAGTGCAGTGACTCGGGAGATCATGGGGCTCACAGGGGGGAGTGCTGGGCTGGGGAGTCGGAGCATGGTGGTTCGGGACAGTATGGGGCGTGCGGGAGGGGTGGTGCTAACCTGGGGCTGAGTCGCAGTATGGTGAAGGAACGAAAGCAGCCTTCGTTGCTGGATAGTAGTGGTAGCGAGGAGGAAGAGGAGGAGGAGGAAGAGGAGGAAGAGGAGGAAGAGGAGGTGGAGGAGGAGGAGGAAGAGGATGATAATGATGAGGAGGGTGAGGGTGGAGCAGAGGAAGGGGAGGGAGAAGAAGAGGAAGAGGAAGAAGAGGAGGGGGAGGAGGAAGAGTATGGAGAGGCGGCGGAGGAGGAGGAAGCAGGGGGAGAGGGAGGAGACGAGGGAGAGGAGGAGGAGGAGGATGCACAGGAGGAAGTAGATGGAGTGGATCAAAAAGAGAATGAGGAAAGCGCGGAGGAGGAAGAGAAGGAGGAGAACGAGGAGAATGAGGAGCAGGAGGACTTAGAGCACGAAGATATGGAGGTTGGGGGCGAGGCGACTTGGAAGATGGAGGGAGCGGAGGAGGGTCCAGGTGAAGGGGAGTCAGCTGAGGAGGACGATGAGAGCAATGAGGAGGAAGAGGAGGAGGAGGTAGAGCAGGAGGACCTGGAGGAGACGCAGCAGGACACACGGATATGGAGGTCAGGGCGAGGAGTCTTGGGACATGGAGGCTGAGGAGGGCCCAGGTGAGGAGGAAGAGGAGAATGAGAAGGTAGAGCACGAGACAGAGCACACCGATATGGAGATCAGGGGCGATGAGTCTTGGGACTTGGAGGAGGCTGAGGATGCTCCCGCTGAGGATGCTCCAACCGAGGACACTCCAGCTGAGGAGAGCCCAGCTGAGGCAGGAGGAGGAGCGGATGAGGAAGCAGGCAGTGATTCTGCCAAAGACCCCCTGCTGCTGAATGTGTCTGAGGGTGAGGGGCGTGTGAAGGCCCTTGCTGCTGCTATGCTGTCGCCTACTGCTACTGCTGCTGATACCACCACTGCATCCCCTAAAGAGGCGGTGGCGTTAGGTGTTGCTGGGGGCGTGTGAAGGCTCTTGCTGCTGTGGTGGCGTCTGCTGCTGCTGATACCACCAGTGCACCCTCTAACAAGGCTGCGACTGTGGACGTTTCTGCTGGGAGGGTGAAAGCACTGGCTGCTGTGGTGGCTTCATCTGCGTCTGCTGACGCCACCAGTGCACCCTCTAAGGAACCGGCGACTCTGAATGTTGCAGAGGGGCGTGTGAAGGCTCTTGCTGCTGTGGTGGCGTCTGCAACTCCTGACACCACAGCTGCAGCCCCGAAAGAGGCAGCAACTATAAATGTTCCTGGCGGGCATGTGAAAGCTCTTGCTGCCGTGGTTGCGTCAACTGCTGCTCCTGCTGACGCCACCAGTGCATCCCCCAAAGCGGCGGCGGCTGTAGATATCGCTGGCGGGCATGTGAAAGCTCTGGCTGCTGTGGTGGCGTCTGTGGGTGCTGCTGGTGCCACCAGTGCACCCTCTAACGAGTCAGCGGGTCTAGATGTTGCTGGTGGGCGTGTGAAGGCTCTTGCTGCCTTTGCGGCTGCTCCTGCTGCTGATGATACCACCAGTGCACCCTCTAAAGAGTCACCGGGTCTAGATATTGCTGGGGGAGGGTGAAGGCGCTGGCTGCTGCGGTGGCATCCACTGCTGCTGCTGACGCCACCAGTGCACCCCCTAAAGAGGTGGTGGTGACTGGAGACTTTGCTGAGGGATGGGTGAAGGCTCTTGCTCCCTCTGGCTGCTCCTGCTGCTGCTGATACCACCATTGCACCCCTTGAAGAGGCAGCGGCTCTAGATGTTGCAGAGGGGCGTGTGAAGGCTCTTGCTGCTCTGGTGGCTTCTGTGGCAGCTGCTGACTCTGTCAGTGCAACGCCTAAAGGTGTGGCGAATCCTGATTTTGCAGAGGGGCGTGTGAAGGCTCTTGCTGCTCGGGCTGCCTCTGCTGCTGCAAACAACAGTGCTGAAAGCACCGGCGGTGCTTCAAAGGACTTGGTCTCTCTGGAGGTTGGAGAGGGGCGGGTGAGAGAGCTCGCTGCTATGGCTGCCTCTGCTGCTGCCAACAGCAGTGCAACCGCCAGTGCTGCTTCAAATGACCCCTCTCTGGATGTTGCGGGGGAGAGTGAGAGAGCTCGCTGCTCTGGCTGCCTCTGCTGCTGCCAATAACAGTGCTGAAACTGCTGACAGTGCTCCAAAGGACTCCTCTCTGGACGCTGGTGAGGGCCGTGTGAAGGCCCTGGCTGCTCTTGCTTCCACTGGTGCTACCTCTGGTAACAATGTTAGTCAAGGCCAATCTAATAGCAATGGTGAACCCACCACGCTGTACGGCAATGACAAGAGCATCCAGCAGCAGCAGCAGCAGCACTACCCTGCTCCCTCCCCACGCCTCATCCACCGTCCCTACTCCCCGTCACCGCGCTCCATCCCTCACTCCCCATCCGCCCATCTCCCCTGCTACACTCGCTGCCCCTCCACCCATCTCGTGAGCCCCATTCGCCCCCGAAGAAGCTTCAGCCCTAGTAGGTTCCGGGCATTTGATGCTGCAGCAGTGGCAGCAGCAGCCTTGTCAGGAGTTTCCCCTCAGCGCCGCCGCTCCCCTTCGCCGAACCTCCCACGTTATTCCGCCTCTCCGGGGGCTTATCCTAGCGGCTTTCCCATCCGAACCTCGTCTGTGAGCCCGAGCCAGTCACCCATGGCCCGAGGCCTGCCTCCACGGCTGCCGCCGAGGTTCGGCAGCAGCGTGAGGTTTGGTGGGGGTGCGAGGGACCCGAGGTTTGGCGAGTTCCGTGATTCGTCGAGAGATTCAGATTTCCGCGAGGGGGCGGGGAGGAGAGGTGCTGGCATGGGGGAGGTAGGGGGAGGTGGAGCAGGAGGGGTTGGGGGTTTGGGGAGTGGGGGAGGGAGTGGGGGATACAGCAAATCTCGGTCGTTGGATCGACAGATAATGGTGGGATCACCAGGAGGGATGGTGGGAGGCGCGGGGGATGTGCTTATAACGAAGGGCAGTGGCGGCGGCATGGAGGGAGAAGGGCATGAGGGGGAAATGCTGGGGGATGATGCAGAAAACGAGGAGGAGAGAGAGGAGGAAGATGAAGGGGAGGATGAGGACGATGAGGAGGAGGGAGAGGAGGGAGAGAGAGGAGAAGGGTCCACCTAGTGAGGGTATGCAGACACAAGGGCCAGCAGCTGCAACAGTGCCTTCAAGCGAGGCCAACGGGATTGCTGGCAGTGGCAAGACATGGAAAGACATTCTTCTCTCTGTGAAAGCAGCGTCTCAGCCCGGAAGAGCTGTTCCCGGTTCTAATGCAGGGAGACAAGAGGGTGTGGGTGTTTCTGCCCTGGCAGCTGTAGCGGCAGAGGTTGTACGGGAATGGACGGAGGCAGGGAGGGAGGGGTGGGTGATGTGGCTGGGGTGTTGGGGAATGGAGCATTGGTGTTTGGTGCAGTTGATGTGGCCGGGGACAGCAGGGAAGTCGGTGGGGGCGATTGGAGAAATGCATGGGGAGGCGTGCGGCAGGAGGGATGGAAGAGGGCGAGAAGCGTTGCAACTGGAGTAATGGCGACTGGTGGGGTGATGGCAGGTGGGCAGCAGCAGCATTCGATTTACAGAGGGATAGCAGAGGGAGAAGAGGAGGGAGGGATGGAGAACAAAAAGGACGGACCAGCTGTGGTAGAAGGGGAAGTTGTTGGGGGGGTGGAGCAGAAAAAGAGGCAGCAGAGGGAGATTTTGCAGCTGCAAACAGCAACACGGGTGCAGAGGGGAGAGGGAGGGTGGAGGAGTGGGGGGGGCAGAGCCCCATGAGGGAGCTTCTGGGGGCGTTGGAGTCTCCCACCAGATGGGCTCACTTGTGTGCCAAGATGGAGCAGCAGAGGCAGCTGTATGAAGCCCAAGGTGAGCCTTATGTGTGCCTTATGAATCTCAAGGTGAGCCTTATGTGGGAGAGGATAGTGTGTAACAGTGTCAAGCTGCTGGGTGCGTTGGAGTCTCCTACCAGATGGCCTCACCTGTGTGCCAAGATGGAGCAGCAGAGGCAGCTGTATGAAGCCCAAGGTATGCTGATGCAACCGCTTGAAAGCCTTCATTATTGCGCTGCTGCCACTTTTCGTTCCTGTCTTGTTTTCTTGTGTTGTTGCTCATCCTTCTCTCCTTCCATCTCTTGTTTGGTCATCTCCTCGCTCCCTTCTTTCGCTTTTCCCATCAGACGATTCTCGAGCCACCCACCTATCAGACCTGCCGGACAAGTTCATCGTTCAGATGCTCTCTAATCCCCTCCCTACGATTCATCATGCAAATCAATTCTTATTTCTCCACCTTACTCACCCTCCTGCTCCCACCAGACGACTCAAGAGCCACCCAGCTATCAGACCTGCCGGACGAGTTCATCGTCCAGATCCTCTCTCGCCTCACCGACCCGCTCGACTGGACGGCGTGTCTCGTCCTATCCAGACGCTTCGCCGCCCTCTCCTGCCTCGCGCTGCAAGCCCTCTACCTCCTCCCGAACCGCCTGCTCCCCAAGCCTCTGCTGGCTCGGTACCTAGCCTGTTACCCGAACCTGGCAGTGCTGTATCTGCCCTGGAACAGCGTGGAGGTGGAGGGAGATGATGTTTTCGAGATGATTGCTTTATCCAGATTGGAGCTGCAGGCTCTGCATGTCGATGTCTTCCCGGTTACAATGTAAGCTGGTGTCTCAGAGTCCTGTGGTGTGTTCTTCATGGGTTTCCTTGCAAGTATGTATGCTTGCTGTTGCGCCGTTGAGGAATGGCCTAGAATTGTTTAGGTATTTTGTGCTAGTCTTTGCTATTCTTTTAAGATTTCTCCTTCCTCCTGCATACTCTCATCACTT